TCTTCTCCCCCCCCCCCCTCTCTCCCCCTAGAGCACGGTACAAAGAAAAGTGCAAACTACTAACAACTAACTATAGTTTAAAATAGTGTTTATTTCGATATTATATACCAGACCTCGACATAAATATACTATTAACGGAATAGATGCCTAGCGATTAATAAACATTAACACTAATTTGCGCGACCTTAACCACACCACAGGCTATAATTGTTTGCATCCTTAGTAATATTCTGTGTCGTGTAATTCATACGCAAATATTTGCACCAATTTCCAGTATTTGCACAATATTGATAGTAGTAATTAACATACTATATGTTAAAATAAAAGAAATGGATAATGCGTTTTTTTATGTAATTGGAAACATGCTGGTTGGGATTTTTTTTATGAATGATAATGGAATGGTGCACCCGCATGGGCTAATGGTTTACGCTTGCGGGGCACCAGGGGAGGATGATAAGATGAGTATGAGGTCAGGTCAGTTAGCCCTTCGTGCCAAATTCACCAAGAATGTATCACGATGGTTTCCAGGGGAAACCGCATGGAGGCCAAGCTGACAACCGCATGGAGGTACATTGTTAGTAATGAGATTTTCAGTCCACATTACAAACAATCCCCTTTCCCCCCACATGATGGGATTTGGTAACCATCGTTAACATACATGATTCGGATACGTACGGATATCGCGTTATCTTGTGACCGTGGGCATAGCCAGCCATAGGCTCAAGGTGGGGCAGCAGTCTAAAATATTTTGTAACTAGCAAACTATACCTGCGCTATATAATATATAGCTAAAATTTTGTAATGCAAAGAAAAAACCAAAGGTGGAAAAAACATATGGATTACGGTTTTCGAAAACAAAAACATGAGTATGAGTATTAGTAACTAACCAAAGAGGAGATATTTGAGATCAAAGGGGCCAGTACAACAAAACACCAATTTCATTTGTAAGGACCTAATAAGTTAATATGAAATATATAGAAGCAAAGAGACAGCGGCCGCAACTTCATTTTATACTACGAGTATGTAAAGTATGGGTTTATTTTCATCACGAACATTCATTTTGGTACCTTTGAACATGATATACGTGTATATACGTATCTGTATACATATACTATATGCATGTACTTCTATCGAAATGCAACACCGAGCTGCATTGGAATGTTCCATATGTGCCTGTTAGCAGTAATGTGTGCAAAATGATGACTAATATCACTCATAGTATATTGAAAACTGAGTATATTGAAAAATTAATAATAAATAAACTTCCTTCGGATCACTGTGGTCAAGTTGTTAAGTTTAGTAATCAGACTAAAAAAAATACCAATAATAAAAGATCAAAAAGACAAATAAATGCTTACAATATTAATAAATACAAAAGCACGGTTAAATATAAATTAGACTTAGAGTTACAATCTGTCAGTCTTAATAATCCTGATATTCTTTACACCAAGTTAATTAGTCTTTTGTCAAAAGAATACCAGAATATTTTCAAGAAAAGAGAATATTGTGTTAAATCTAAATTTACAGAATGGGCAACAGTAGGAATACTTAAAAGTAGAAACATTTTATTTGATTTATATGATCAAAAAAAATAATTTGATGACAAATTTACGACTTATGTGAGAAATTACTCTAAAATTTTCAAACAAGTTTGTATTGCAGCTAAATCTAATTTTATAAATAAACAAATTAATCAGTCCTCTGACAAAATTAAGACCATCTGGGGAATTATAAACAAAGAAACTGGACGGTCTGAAAAAGCCTGCAATCAATTCTCATTAAATTATGACAATAAGTTAATAACAGCAACAAAAGATATAGTTCATATTTTTCAAGATTTTTTTGCTAATATTCCGATTGATATTACATCTTCTCTAGACTCATCTCCAATTCGAGCAAAAACATTACTGGAGGCTAATGTCAGCCCTTGCTCTTTAACATTTAAATTTTCACATGTCAGCCCTTTTCATGTCATAAAAATATTCAAACAGTTAAATTTAAAAAATACGGAAGATCTCTGGGACATGTCAGTTAAAGTAGTTAGTTCATTCATAGATATTGTTGCTCCTTATCTGGCTACTATTTTCAATAAATGTGTTGATAATGGCGTGTTTCCTCAATTAATGAAATTTAGCAAATTAATTCCACTTTTAAATCTGGAGATAGATTTGAGCTAGGCAACTATAGACCAATTTCTATTTTGCCAGTTCTAAGTAAAGTATTTGAAAAGATTATGTTTAACCAAATGTTAAAATACTTCAGGGATAACGGACTGCTTCACAGTCAGCAATATGGTTTCACTGCCGGCAAGTCTACTACTGATGCAGGTGTAGCGCTTATTACACATATATTCGAATCATGGGAAAACTCACAGGATGCTCTCGGCGTTTTTTGTGACTTGTCGAAGGCGTTTGATTGCGTAGATCATGAAACACTTTTGTACAAGCTCAAATATTATGGTATTAGAGATAATGACCTAAGTCTAATGAAAACTTATCTAGAGGATAGGGTGCAAACTGTAGATATTGATGGTGTAAAGTCTAAGGGAACTAATATAAAAATGGGCGTTCCTCAAGGTTCAATATTAGGCCCATTTCTCTTTTTAATTTATATAAATGACCTTCCCTACATGGTAGAGAAAGTTGCAGATATAGTGTTATTTGCGGATGATACTTCGTTAGTGTTTAAAATTGGTCGCCAATGTAATCAATTAGACGATGTAAATTATGCTATCTCTGCTATACTAAATTGGTTCACATGTATAATCTATTATTGAACTCCAACAAAACTAAGTGCATTAAATTCACGCTGCCTAATGTAAAACAAGTAAATACGCAGCTATTGCTTAATGATGAAATAGTAGATTTTGTTAATGATACAGTTTTTTTAGGAATAACAGTGGACTCGAAGTTACAATGGGGGCCCCATATTTCAAAATTAGCCAGTAGACTTAGTTCTGCTGCTTATGCAATTAAAGGATAAGGCAATTAACAGACGTGGCGACGGCAAAACTTGTATATTTTAGTTATTTCCATAGCATTATGTCATATGGCATACTGCTATGGGGTAAAGCTGCCGATATAAATACTATATTTATTTTACAAAAGAGAGCCATACGTTCTATTTATGGTATGGGTTCTAGAGAGTCATTACGTCAATGCTTTAAACAATCAAATATCCTCACCGTTGCCTCTCAGTACATTTATGAAAATATTATGTATACAAGGAAAAACTTAGATAGTTTCAAGAAACTTAAAGACTGTACAAGTAGAAACTTACGCAATAAAAATAAGCTAATACCTAAATGCCGTCTACACAAAGTTAGTAATTCATTTTATGGTAATTGCGTAAGATTCTATAATAAACTGCCAGAGTCTACGCTAAATCTTACAGAGAGGCAATTCAAATCTTATATTAAACAAATGCTATGTAAAAAAGCCTATTATAAGATAGATGAATTTATAGATGATAGCAATATATAGCAAGAATAAGTTTATTTGCGGACAACGTTATAATTTTAATTTTCATACTGCTTTCGATATATGATAGCGTAGCGGCTTCATTGATTGCCGCATGCATCCTTATGTAAAGTGCGAATACTGTAACTACCATATAGTAATTTTTGTATACGTGGTCGTGTGATAGTCATGCTAATAAAATGTCCAGACATGTGGCGGCGTGGTGGGCCGGGTCAATGGGCTCCCTAAAATATGGTCGAGCGCAGTGATGGCTGGCTCATCCGTCATACTCGTGAACGAGTGCTGCTTGTAGGGACTGGTCTGCTCTTATCACTACGACTGATTTAATCTTATTGTATGATTATATTAGACCCAAAAAATTTGTGCTTGTTGGTAGTTTGTATTCACACGTTTCGACTTGTAAATGTAAACTTACAAGGATTATTTAAAAGAGCAACACACAAGTTTCTTGCTCGTTCTTCTTGTGATGAGACAGCTTTCCGAACGAGTGGTAGATAAAAAACAAATTGTTATGACTATTCAAAAGTGCTTAAATTAAGTTTATTTGAATAAATGATTTTCTATTCTATTCTATTCATAGGACAAGTAATATAAACTATCAAAGCGTCTGAACGGCACGATCAGTACAGAACAAAATAAGCTGACGAGTTTAATTAAGATTATTCTTTGGTCCCCGAAATAATTAAAACATTAATGGAGGCCATTACATGTTTTATTTAATAAATATATAATAGTTTCCAGTGTGACCGCGTGGAAGTCGGCGTAATAAAGTCTGTACATTGCTGTCAACTGTGTATACTGGCAATTCAAAATTATGACGAAACTTGAATAAAATAATAGAGAGCAGGACGGTGGCGTGGATGTAATATATAAACTATTAGTGATCATACCATAAACTATATAAAGACGTTACGTATATTGAAGATACCGATTTATGTCGAATTTAATAAATTAACGATAATTAATTTATAATCTATTAATAAGTTACACATATTAGAAGATAGACACACGACGTACATACACACCTGAATATAGCACTTACTTGCATTCGCTCATCTCAAATCCAAATGATATATTGTCATTCTTTCTTGCACTATATATTACATAAAATTACTAGTAACAAAAATCATAGTCACACTATGATAGATATTATTTACTTGTTTCAATAAATGTTAATAACTAATCATTTCTCCATAAAATTTACTCAGTGTTATTAAAGCACTGGCTAACATAGTAATTTTATTTATAATACTGGCAAACTGTGTGAAGGTGATAGAATATTTAAACTAAAGATCTCAAGCAAGAGTTTGATCTCTTAATATGTAAAAAAAATGTAGTTATTCAAAATAAATTTTATATCACTTTTACTTGCATTTAAATTGTAACTACTTTTCGTTTACAAATGCATTTTCGAAGTTCCATATGACATTAACGTTCTTCTGGTCTCCACAAACTAGAGTCCAGAGCCATAAATTTTCTACCAGTAAAAAAATACATTCAAATTTTCATTTTTCAATGAAATGTAACGTACAGTCCATATTGTCCGTGATTTTTTAAATATTTAATTTTATATACTTTATTAATATTGCGTTGCAGTTAAATCATTACCAATTTTGTTTTATAGTTTGTATTCAAAAAAAGCTACGACAATAAGTAATCAACATCATGTCTGGAAGAGATATTTATTATTCCGATAAATATTATGATGAGGAACATGAATACAGGTTACCTATCTAAACTAATATTATTACATACTACCTAATATTAATTAATTAGCCTAACATTAAAAGTTTATAACCTAATACTTTATCAACTTTTTCAAAATATGTGTGTTGTGGTGAGGTTCCTTTTGTGTTGAGATGATATGTTAACCAGTATATAATATGTACGTTTGCAGATTTGCAAAGAAAAGCCTTTTAATATTTTTTTACTATAGTGTCAATCTATATTTGACAACTAAACTATTTATTTAACTTAATCGATGAGGAGGTCGTATAGACACCTAACAATGTGTATTATTTATTTATAAAATTTATGTTTTCAGGCATGTAGTGTTATCGAAGGATATGCTTAAACTAGTACCCAAGAACCATTTGATGTCTGAAAAAGAATGGCGCAGTATCGGGGTCCAACAAAGTCATGGATGGGTGCACTATATGACCCATCAACCTGGTATGTATAATCAATAATTTATCACACATATTATTGCCTTTGCATTATATCTGAGGCACCAGTATTTGCCCTCAGATATAATGTCTATTTGAAGCTTAAAACAATAGATGTGTACAAAGTATTACACACAGAATACAAAGATAGGTATTATAGATAGTTTCATATTTAGGTACTTAAAAAAATTAAAAGTTTCTCTTCTCTGTTTGTCTGCTATGTTTCTGACTTTTTTCACACAATATCAGGTTACTATACACATACATTCTCACATTTATTTGTACCAGTTTCAATGTATAAATTTATTTGTATTAAATTTTATGAGATGCTAATTATAAGCTGTATGCTAATAATATATTACAAAATATATAAAACTCTTTTCAGAACCTCACATTCTTCTATTTCGACGAAAGAAGACATCGGAACCAGAAAAGAAATGAGAGTGTAATTTACAAATATTTTATAACATTAGTTGTGAAGTAGTTAATTTCTACATGACAAATATGTATTACCACAAACAATGTAATGAATCAGTTAATTTTACCGCCATTGTACAAACAGTTACAAGTATGTGATCCGATGACATTTCAAACTGGTGATATTAGTTTCTTTTTTAGTTATGGGGTGTCATGTACAATAAACTTCTATAACCATGGGAGTCGGAAATAGTGTTTAAGAAAATATAGAAAAGGTTGTCTCTTTCTTAAACATCTGTAACATTATATAACTACAGGAATCAATTTGTTTTATAGATGTTTAATTTTTTTTGTAATAATTTCATACATTTATTTAATATTATAGAAAAAAATTGTTACAATTTACAGACTGCCAAAAACTTGAAACTTTTCATAAAGTGTTTTATTATAATTTGACAAAAGATTTCATTTAATGTTAAATCACTTGCAATGTTAGTGTAGATTTTCATTCAACTCTTAATTATTCAGGATTTGAGAGGTGTACTGTTAATAAACAATTATGAAATCCATTTTTTTAATACACCATAAAATGTTTAATGTTACTGTGCACTAAATCTTAATATTATTACAATGTCATACATGTAAAAATATCAAAATATTAATACCCACTTACATATTATATAACAAACCATTTTACTAATTGCTACTTATATTTTAAATAAATCTCTAAGTATATAATAATAATAATATGAAAAGTATATTTTTAAGTTTTGTAAATATTAATTATAATCACATATCAATTAAGAATATTGTACAAGAATTATTGGCTGGACCGTACAATAAAGAAATGCGCACGAAAAATATTTTGCTGTTTAACAACAGCAAAATATTTTTTAATAATGTTAACATATTACTTGCAATTATTGATCAATATTAATTCAGTTTTGTAATAATCCATATATCTCTTCTGAAGCTGTACTTTTATTATTGTTGGTTTAGCTAAATTAATAACTTTTTTAACCAGAGAAAGAAGCTGAACTTATTGCTGGTATACAGACTATTAATTGTTATACTTAAATTAAGAAATTCAAGGATTTTTCTTACTGTTTAAGATTAAGTTTAAAACACCCATTTAGGTTAACATTACTATATACTTAATAAATTATGTCATTATTTTATATTTAATTTTATTAGAATTTTTATTAATGTCAAATTATTACATGTCATTTTATAATTATGCTTATTTAATGATTTCTCTTATTTACTTATATATTTTATTGTAGTAGGTAGTCATGATTACATTCCATAAGTGAGAAAAATAAAACATGCAATATGTTTTGTTTTTACTAATACAGAAGTTACCTACATTTGTTTATAAAATCAAATCTGCACCTTGAAGGATACCTAATTTGTTATATCTTTGAGCATTAAGAATATATTTAAACCAAATCTGATATACTATAATAGAAAGTTAATAAATTGTCTACAAAACAACTCTTCTGTTACATGATGAAATTTGTTGTTATTTATAAGGTTGTTAATTATGTACATATAAATCACTAGCATTGGCCTTTAAAAATAAATTGAACCATTGTAAACAGGTTGGAATTGTAAACCACTAGACTACAGAGATTGTTTAAATTATTACAAACTTTTTAAAGTATGCTGCTATTCAGGTTCTGTAACATAAAATAACTATATTGTATGCTATGTTGAATGAGACGCCGATAGTACCTTTTTATGCAAGATGCCTTATTTTATAATTGTTAATTTTCCTTCATAATCATTATTTTTAATATTGTAAATAATCTAAGCATCAATTTCATTAATTGGATTTAATTAATTATTAAAAATTTGGTGCTAAATATGTTTTTTTTATTTCTTAAATGAATAACAAATTCTAATGTACTGTTTTGCAATCGCCTCTAAAATGTATTGTTTTCCAATGTCTTATTATTTTATTCAAGATCTTTGGATGAAGTAGCATTAATTTGTACTACAATGAATCATAGTAGCAATGTTGCTTGGTGAGAGAACAAAAAAAACAATGTTTTATATTTTGTTTTCGAATTTTATTTTCTTTTTTTCTTAGCACTAGGTGACAAAGTGGGCAATTTGGCTGTAGGCTCTGAATGTGAGAATTCCATTGGCTCTAGTTTTATATCATCTGTTACAACTGCATCCAAGAGCTCCAATCCTTGTAACTGTTCTTGTTCTAAACTATGTAACATCTGGAAACCTGGTTCCAGTGATGGTGTGAATGCTCCATCTAAAGCAGCAGGAAAGTGCAATTCTGGTACTTCTTCAAGTTTCAATTGAGGTGCTATATCACCTATAGCCAATGCTTCACACTGACAGTGCAAATCTTCACATTTCTTCTTTATTTTTGCATGATACCTGACTACTCTATTATTATAAAATTCATGTAAATCTCCAACATTGAGGTCTGCAAATACTTTTGAAATAACATCAGGGAATCCAGATTTGAGACCACTCGCTTCTTTGTCTACAGCAATGCGTAGCAGTTTACACATGTTAGTCATATAAATATCTAGTGCATCAGATACAGCACTGAGGGCCGTGTTTGTGCAAGTCGAAATACCAACATGACCTATAGCTATGGCAGCACACTGCCGCAGAGCTCTTTTATGACTTTCTGGTGTAAATGGCAAAATAATAGGACCTTTACCAAGTGAAAAGTCACAGTACTTTTTAGGTAGGAAGTTTATGGGTGGCGTTGTCTCGTGTTCCAAATGTATATGAGGTTCCGATGGCATAGATGGCAAACTCATTGGATCTAATCTTGCACCTTCAAAAACTGCATTTTCGGTTTGTTCCAAAATAGCGGTGAGCTGTCTAGAATAAGCATGCAACTGTATCGTGTGCGTAATTAAATTCGGCTTCGGTAATTCAATCGGTGAACTTTTCACAGTGATCGGTATCTCAGGAATATTCTGCATGCCCAGTTCGATTATTGGGTTGAAGTTCACATTTTGTGCTATACTTTCGTCTCTATCATCATTATCAAATTCACCCCATAAATTCCTTGTTGTCATATTTATAATTTGCACTTAAGATTTATTAGATACATAACATTAATTAAAATCTAATTGATTCGTAAAAAAATGCTCAAAAATAGTAAATACAACAAAAAATCTAACAGCACAGACTTTAGAACATGAGTAAAATTATAATCTGTGCAAACCGTAAGATAAGATGAACTGACTTTGGCAGTTCTAGAATTGCCATCTTAAAAAATCTGTTTAAATCAAATTTAAAACGTTTGCAATTAACCAACTAGATACTTTACACAATCAAGTGTCGAATACGTATACATAATCTACAATATGCAATATTTTAGTCGATCAATACTGCTAATTAAATGAGAGGGAAAAGGCGATTCACATGTTAATTGACAATGTACCATTTTAGAACGACCCCCAAGAGGTCTCTCTATCGCCAGCTTTAATCCCATCATCAACTGAATATCGGTAGCGTACGTCCACCCAAGTCCCAAATTGTACGATATATTACAAATAAATGGGTACTATGTTTTGCTTTAGATAGCTCATTTTTTACAGTTGATGTTCATTAATGTGCATATAACTAGGAACACTATAATTAATTATATAAGATACTAGCTATTGCCTGCGATTTCGTCTGCGTTTCCATAGTTTTTCTTAAAATAAGTAGCCTATGTCCTTCCTCACGGTTCAGTGGTTTGGATGTGTTTTCCTAACATTTCCCTTCACTGCTTGCTCCTATTGATCTTAGCGTGATGAAAAGTATACTATACCCTGCCCAGAAATATGAAGAATAATTGTACCAAATTTCGTTAAAATTCCTCTAGTAGTTTTTGTTTCTATAATGAACATACAGAGAAAACATTTTATTGATTGAATTTTTGGCATCAGTATCGATTACTAATCACCCCCCGATAGTTATTTTAAAAATATATTTCATGTACAGAATTGACCTCTCTACAGATTTATTATAAGTATAGAAGATAGATGAATTTATAATGCAGCGGAAAAAGTTTAATTAAAATAATATGATTACGTTTAAAATAATATGATTTACTGTTGCTATTCCGAGGTAGTCAGAGGAAGACCGTCGACCGCTAGACTACTGGCTAACATTTCGCTTCACGGGATATATTGACATTTCAATTCCATCATATAACTATATGTACTATGTTTATTTCATTTATTATTGACTATAAATGAAACAGACATATTACGCCGGCCCCACATAAATGGGATAAGGAAGAAGCAGATGATGAGGATGACATAAATGAAACAAACATATATGCAGCACCAAACATTCATAAACCAAATAATTTATTTCAATACCTACCTACTTAAAAATACAATTGTCAAAATTATTCTACGTTTATCTTGATACTTATAGGTACCTAACACCTATTCAAATACTACTATAGGAATACAGATCTATATATGTAGACAAAAAGCTTATTACATTAAAAGTTTAAAACAATGATTTAACTATTAACTGGTATCCCAGCATAGCTGCCTAATTATCTATTTAAAAATAGATAACTTCAATTCTGCAGTAGAGACCAGACTAATAAAAAATTCAAGAACAACACATGCAAATTATATATAATAGCTATTACATTAAAAATATGCTTAATATGACAACAGTTGTCCAAACATTTTAATATTTTTTTGGAATTCCAAATAAAAATGGTGTGCCCATGTGCCATATTTACGTGAAAAGAAAAAAACAAAGATTTTTTATATCCTTTGTTTTCTGATTCATGTGCCTTTTTTAATCAAAGTTAGATCAACACATTAAAAACACGTCCACATTTTTATCTGAAGTTCAGAATAAGTTGATTCAAAATGATCAGTTTTCATACATCCATTGTATCCATGTGCAGATTTGTACTTCATCACATTATGCATTAACCTGGGTTTTATCACATATCAAATTACAGCCATTTCATTTAAAATCTAGAAATAACAGATTTTTTCTCAAAGGCACTTGCAAATTTTAACGTATAATTAGAAAAGTACTCATTTCTAATAAACTACTATCTGATGTGATTATAAAACATCAAGATCATTATATAATAGAAAGCAATATATATAAACAACATTATCTAATAAGAATTTGGTTCACCACCAGTGATGAAATGGCACCATTTGAATAACATGTCTGTAACATGCTGTCACAACCTTAATAGTAATTGTGGTATTAAGTACACCTTTGTCATTTTAATTAACCCTTTTGCACTCGTAATTTTGCTTTAAAAAGTTAGCAAATAATTCGGAATTGTAATGGTTGAGATGCGATGTCCCTTGTATGGGGACATATGATTGCAATGATAAATCGAATGATGTCCTGCCTACGGAGATATACGAGAGCAATTATAAATCGAATGATGTCCCGCCTACGGAGATATATGAGAGCAACGATAAAACGAGTGATGTCCCCCGTACAGGGACATACGTGGGTAACGATAAAACGAGTGATTTCCCCAGTACGGGGACATACGAGCGCAACGATGAAATGAGTAATGTCCCCCACATGGGGACATACGAGTGAAAAGGGTTAATGAGTAATAAAATAAAAAAACTTAAGTTTAGAATGAAGATCAATTGAGTAAAAAATACATCAATATTTTTTAGTTTAAACATTTTCACCCAACTGTTATAAATCAATACAATTATTATTTTGAGTTCCATATACGATGTTAACTTCGGCTAAAAGTTGGTAGGTTAGTTGACCTATACATCATCAAGGGTGTGGGCAAGTCAATGATTATTTATATTATCAGTAAAAAATATATTATAGTTTATTATTTATGCAATATAAGCACGTATCTAATAACAGTGTACGATATAAATTTGATTAACACCTTCACGCCGGGGCCGGCTTTAATGCTTTTTGTTGCGGGCAGCGCTCTAATTGATGCTACGCTTCATCTGGCGGCGCGGAGCCACCGATGGTACGCGCCGCCAGATAAGACAATCTAGTACGTACCGCCGGTGCTACGTGCCGTCCAATGAGACAGTCTAGCGCGGGCCACCGATGGTACGCGCCGCCAGATAAGACAATCTAGTACGTACCGCCGGTGCTACGTGCCGTCCAATGAGACAGTCTAGCGCGGGCCACCGATGGTACGCGCCGCCAGATAAGACAATCTAGTACGTACCGCCGGTGCTAGGTGCCGTCCAATGAGACAGTCTAGCGCGGGCCACCGATGTTACACGCCGCCAGATAAGACAATCTAGTACGTACCGCCGGTGCTACGTGCCGTCCAATGAGACAGTCTAGCGCGGGCCACCGATGGTACGCGTCGCCAGATAAGACAATCTAGTACGTATCTACCGGTGCTACGTGTCGTCCAATGAGACAGTCTAGCGCGGGCCACCGATGATACGCGTCGCCAGATAAGACAATCTAGTACGTATCGCCGGTGCTACGTGCCGTCCAATGAGACCGTCTAGCGTGGGCCACCGATGGTACGGGCCGCCAGATAAGACAATCTAGTACGTACCGCCGGTGCTACGTGCCGTTCAATGAGACAGTCTAGCGCGGGCCACCGATGGTACGCGCCGCCAGATAAGAGACCTCCGGTGCTAGTGCCGTCCAATGATACAGGGGCCACCGATGGTACGGGCCGCCAGATAAGACAATCTAGTACGTACCGCCGGTGCTACGTGCCGTTCAATGAGACAGTCTAGCGCGGGCCACCGATGGTACGCGCCGCCAGATAAGACAATCTAGTACGTACCGCCGGTGCTACGTGCCGTCCAAGGAGACAGTCTAGCGCGGGCCACCGATGGTACACGTCGCCAGATAAGACAATCTAGTACGTATCGTCGGTGCTACGTGCCGTCCAATGAGACAGTCTAGCGCGGGCCCCCGGTGGCCCGCGCCGGCGTGAACGTGTTTGAATAGAAGTTATTATAAAAATAATGGCGTTTTTGTATCGACAGCGAAGTGGCAGTTAATTTCTTATGAATATGTATATATTCTCTACAGTTATAAACTTATCACACTCTAATTATACAGAAACTAAACTGACCTGATCCTAATATTACAGTTTTCATATTATAACATGTTATAAATTTTATTTATTTATTTTATGATTTTATTATATGAATTTTTTTTTTTATATGAAGATTCTGAATTTATTTACTGCTTTTACTAGATAATTAGAAAAATTAATAACTTCAAAGCAAGAATTTACGAGTCTGTTTCAGAAAATATTTAATTTTAGTGTGAATGCAGTTTATTACTTCATTTAATTAACAATTGGACATAACAAGAGTAAAAATTAAAATCGCAATTTTATTATATAAACATGGATGCCTAAGAGACAGACAAATAATTGAGTATAATAAATTCAATGTCAAATAAAAATAATAATATGGATTTATAACTCTGGGCTGCCATTAGTCAAATTAAAAATAAAACTAAAACTAAGTCACTATGAATATAATGTAAGATCTAGTTTTCATATAATACCCCAGCACAATCATAAACCACCAGCTTACTTTTTTTCTGGTTCTGTAGTCTTTTTACGTCGAAACAGTAGAATATGTGGCTCTGAAAATAGAGGGGTTAACGTTTATAATAGTAAGTATATAAAAATACTACCTGTTAACCATGACAATCACTGCAATTAAAAAAAAAACGAAGATAGTCTATGTTCATTATCACATTTTAATTATCTTTAAATAATAATAATAGCCTGGACAATTCACAAAGCACATCTATACATATAAATAAAATTGGGAGTGTCTGTTTGTAATATTGAAATAACCATTTTTACTGCATGTTATATTAATATGTCTGTTTCTTCTGGCTAATGTCTGAAATGGCTGGACCGATTTCGACGGGACTTTTTTTGGCAGATAGCTGATGTAATAAGGAGTAACTTAAGCTACTTTTATTGTAGAAAAATTAAAGTAAATGTGGATGAAGTGACGTGAACAGTTAGTTTTTAATAAAAACATCTAATATACAAAGGAAATACCCAGGCTAATATAAACAATTATACACATAAGTATAAATATTTATGTTGTGCAAGGAATTAAACTCAAAACCACCAGTAGTAAAGTGGTGTGTCACACCACTTTACCTGTATGTTTTTTTTTATAGCATAGGGGATAATCTATGTTGCAGCGAACCTGATGGTAAGTGATTACTACCACCAATAAGCACCCACAACACCAGGACTTTTGAAAATGTGTTACCAACCTTTTAAGTGAGAATAAGCTTCTCTTGAAGGTTTTAATATTGTATTGGTTCGGAAATACCAATTTTTATTATTTATATAAATAAATAAATAAAATCAATAAATACCATTGCTGTAACAATATTCCACAATGTGGTTGCACATGGCAAGAAGTTTACATGACATCATATCATGTGTCTGATTGTTTCTGATGTATTCACAACCAAACATATCAATGGTTTACTATGAAATTTAATTTGAAGATAGATTCCATCACAAAGATTTTTGTTTAATTTCAATAAAGCACAGGAATTCAGTGCTCAGCTTTCCTTTAAGTAATTATTGAAAACCATTACAATAATAAGTACATACCAGGTTGATGGGTCATATAGTGCACCCAACCCTGACTTTGTTGAACCCCGATACTGCGCCATTCTTTCTCAGACATCAGATGGTTCTTGGGCACCAGTTTAACCATATCCTTTGATAACACTACATGCCTGAAAGTAGAAATCAGATAATCATCAATTATGAATCTTTGGTGAAATACATGAGTCAAGCACACTGGAATGGTGTAGTAAGTCTGTAAATATAAATAAGTCTGTCTGTATATAAAAATCAATGTCAAATAAATATACTATACCTGTATTCGTGTTCTTCATCGTAATATTTATCAGAATAATAAATATCTCGACCAGACATGATAGGGCACTTGTTCGTAATTTTCAATCGTTCCACACACAAATAAAACACCTAGTCAATTATATAATGTTGTGAACAACAAAAATTAAATAGTGATATATACACAAATGATGTTATTCCTTTCTTTAATTCAGATATTCAAACAAAGTACGTAAAAAATGTAATAAGGATAACGTATTACGAAATTTAAAATTACTCTTCCATTGGTTGAAAATATTTTTTTTAACGGCTCTGGATACAAGTTGGATTAAAAAAAATGAATCTTGTGAAAAATTATACCTAATAGTTTAAATTAATAATTACTTTTTTCTATTTTCTTCACTTTTGCTAATAAAAATATGTGTTAGCATCTATTATAAAGTCTCTTTAGTTGCATAAGTAGTAATAATTACCATTCTTACTCGGTATTTTGATGTGTCTATGGTTTTGTTACCATCAGAAAATCTGACAAACAGCACAGATTACTTTTTATATAATGTAGAATTGTAGAGTAGAAACTTCCACCAATTTTAACAATAATAAATTCGAAAAGGCCACAATAATAGTGGTAAAACAATTGTGATATAATTTATCTGCTAGATGCAATAAGGAAAGTTATAAGTTAAAAGTTTTAGTCATCTATATATTAGGATTTAAGTAAAACTATCTCCAATGGCTAGAGAGAAGTGTAGGATATGTTTACAGGAAAATGTAATATTAAACAATATTTTTCTTTTATCTGGAACATTTACAATTGCCAATAAGATAATGCGCTTGGCTAATATTGAAGTGAGTATTTAATTTGAGTCGTCTGTTACCACCGATTTTGACATTACAATTTGAATGATTATTCTAGCTATTATATTCTACTTATTACTACATATATATGGTACTTCACCAAGAATAATTTTAATTTTTTTTGTTTGTGTTGTTCTTGCTAATCTCTGAAACGACTGCACTGATTTTGACATAACATTCATTCTCTGATAGCTAATGTTATAAGGAGTAAGTTATACTACATTTTTTTATAAATTTTATTTATTTTAATAATAAGGAAAAAAATAGTTAAATCCCATGTGGTAAACGAATTTGCTGGTAAAATCTCGTCTCCTATAAACTTTTAACAAAACAAATTATTGTATACTCATTATAGATATCTTTATCTTTATTACAGATATGTCCTAATGATGGTCTGCCTGACACTATATGTTTAAAATGTATTAAAATATTGGATGAATGTCTCCAGTTTGTAGAGCTTTGTGAAACCTCAGATCTTAAACTTAGATCTTTATTAAATATACAAAACAATGATCAGGAAAAATGTAGCAACAGTTTAGAATCACTGAAATATGAAAGCTTGAATGAAACTAGCCATGCAAATTATACAATAAAATCTGATGACGGTGGAGATGTATTGTTGATGGGAAATAATATAACTCATGGCTCTGATGGTAGCAGAATAATAAAACCTGAAGTATCACCTGAAATAAATATCAATAAGGAAAACTTGAATATTGTTGATGGAAAGAAAGCCCAAAAGCAACAGTGTTTTACTTGTGGTAAAGTGATGTCATCCAGGTAGACTAAGTCAGTAATTAAGAAATACCTTGAGTATAATACAATGTGTTTTATTTTGCAGTAGTATGGTTTATAGTTATCATATTGAACTGTTAGTAAACTACAGTACTTTTGTACTATCTGAGTCCAATGTTTTGATATATCCTCAAAATCTTCAAATTTTAATATTTGACTAAATAATATTATCAAATGCATTATCTATATTGATTATTAAATAAAATAATATATATATAGCTATCAATTTTAATGGCATTAATATTTTAAAACTGATTTCTTTAATTTCCAGATTTCGTCTGAAAACTCATTTAAGAACACATACAGGAGAACGTCCATATTCATGTCTGCATTGCGGCAAAAATTTCTCTCTGGCACAGAACCTCAAAGTACATATACGAATACATACAGTATGTTTCATTTCATTACATAAAATAGCAATTTTTATTGCTAAATTGTGCTAAAATATTATTGTCCAAACTAATGTTTCACAAATTAAGTATCTCCTAAAAATACACTCTTATTTATGTAGGAAAACTCCTAAAATAATTAATATCTCTCACTGCTTATATATTATATAGCAATATTTATAACATAATGAGTGCAGCAGAATTGTAGTGATGTACACATATAGAGAAATAAGAATTTCTGCAAAGATGGCTGCAACATAAACAATAGTCATGTACATTGATAATTGTATGTGTCAATATAGATCTACATAGGTTGCTGTGCCATAAATCTATTTCACTAATAGCAGCTCTTAATAGAATAATAAAAATACGATAATTGATATTTCACTGATACTTCAATGTTTTCAGGGCGAAAAACCACTAAAATGTTCTATCTGTGGTGAATGCTTCGCACAGTCGGCGGGCTTGGCGGCACACAGACGAAAGCATACTGGACAATTACCATATAAATGTTTGTTGTGTCCACGAAGTTTCAGAACAGTTGGTCACCTACAGTATCATGTGAGGTAAGGCAGAGTTATTATGAAAAAAAAAACAATTGAGAGCCATACTTCATCACTAAGCTGCTTAAAATTTATAGAACATTACTAATTTTAATGTATAATTGCAATGGACAAAAAAGTTATTATGTCTCCCCTGCCCTTCTACATGTGTAATTGTAGCTATATTTTTTTTCTTTTATTTTCAGGCGTCACACTGGAGAGAAAAATTATGAATGTGATTTGTGTGGTAGAGCTTTTATAACTCGAAGTGATTTGAAGCAACATCTGCTCACGCATTCCGGCGATAGACCTCACGTTTGCTGCGTCTGTGGACTGCGACTGACACGCGCTTCTCATCTTAAACGGCATATGCAACTTACACACAGTAGTATAAAAGTATTGACTTGTTCTCAATGCTCACAAAAATTTACAGAAGCAACGGCATTTGAGAAACATATAAAGAAACATACAAATGCAAAAGATAACTCTGAAATATCATCATGAAATTGGCTAGAAAGAAATATTTATTGCAATATTTTATACATTAATTTTTATTTTAATATATTTTCTAATAATAGTTGGGTGATATTATTTCTAATTGTTCCCTATTCAATTATAATAGAAAATGGATGAAAATAATAATCGGCATGAATTTATTATAAACTAACTGTGCCCGCAACTTCGTCCGCGTGGAATAGTGAGAGTGACCTTTACCAAATAGGAAAAATATTTAGTAATCTAACACAAAAAAAGCTAAATAAAAAAATCATCGTTGTAGCATGTAATATTATATTATCTGTGGTTGTAGCTTCAAAATGACGAACTTACATACAAACTTTCATCCACTGTTTTATTAAACCTCCTTAAGGGTAACATTTTTACAAACTGAAAATCATATTTATTTATATATAATCAACGTTTTTAGCTTTAAAAATGACAATACTTCCATACATTTCTCTGCTCTTTAACGCCTTACATGTTTTTGCATTAAAGAATAACCTGTCTTTTCTCAGGATCTCGACTATCTGTGTACCAAATTTCATTGAAATCTGTTCAGTAGTTTTGGCGTAAAAGCGAGATAGACAACGAGACTTATTCCAATTGAAACTGTCAAATGATTAATGAACATTCAATTCCACGCTATTATTTCGCCAAAATTGCATTGCAACAAAGTCACGTAATCAACATACGACAAATAATTTTAATCGAAATATAAATTTTCTGTTGCAATCGTAGTTGACAGCGTCAGTGACAGATGACGTCATTTTTACTACGTATCATGTGAAAGTCGTTACGAAGTTATATACCTAAATATAGTGTGGTCTGTGGTTAATTTAAAAACTTTTGAACTTATTAACTAATGAATTAATATTAATTTTTTAGCTTGTATTTATTTTTAATTATTTTCTATAACTATGTCTCCGATAAAACTGTATCATTTTCCTGTTAGTGGTCCATCAAGAGGAGCTTTGTTTGCTGCTAGATTCATCGGAGTCCCAGTAGAAGTGGAATTAATTGATTTATTTAAAAAAGAACAACTTAAAGACAGTTTTGTGCAAATAAATCCACAACACACAGTGCCTACACTTGACGATGATGGTTTTATACTATGGGAAAGTCGTGCCATTGCTTGCTATTTAGCCGATAAATATGGAAAAGATGACCTACTTTACCCTAAGGACTTAAAGCGCCGTGCTTTGATAAATCAGAGATTATACTTCGATAGTTCCTTCTTGTATGTGAAAATAAGAGCCATTTGTGTAAGTAATGCTACATTATTTTCTTAAAATATTGTAATAATACCTATTGCTATTCAAATAAGTTATTTCTTTGATATAGTACTTATCATTATATTATTATTAAAGTTATAAAATACAAATAATAATAATAATAAAATTACCTAATAAAATATACATGTATAATAATTAAAATAAAATAAGCATTTAACAAGTAAATTTGTAAAATTACTTTTATATTATTATAAGTAATTTTCCAAATGTAACAGTTTTATGTATGTTAATATATTTATTTTTCAATTGTGTTTGACACAAATCATAATGTGGATTACTAAACAGAACACTTGACATGTAGTGTAGTGACATATGCAAGGCTGTGAGATATGTTTGTAATTAATAGTAATAAAATTATATTATTTATCACATGTGCATTGTTCCAGCATCCCATATTATATCTAGGTGAAACTGAAATAAGGAAACCCTTAAAAGATGATCTCAATGCGACTCTAAAATTCCTTAATGGCTTCTTGAATGACAGTAAATGGGTGGCAGGAGATCACCCAACCATTGCAGATACTTCTATATATGCTTCAGTATCCAGTATTCTTGTAAGTTATTTTTTTTGTTCTAAAACACCAAGAGCAATAATTTAATTAGTCTGTATAAATAAGTAAAATAATTAATAGTTAGTATAATAAATCAATTATACTGTTTCATATAATATATATCATATATATATATATACATATATATGATATATGTGATGATATGATTTTTCAGATATATATATCTGGAATATCCTAAATAAAACCTTGCTTTGTGAATCTTGAAGACAAAAAGGATAAGACAGAAGTAGTTAAGAATGGTAATAAAATATTTTAATGTTTACAGGCTGTAGGATGGGAAATCTCCGAATTCCCTAATATACAGCGATGGATAAAAGACTGTGCTACATTGCCTGGTGCTGCAGAAAATGATGAAGGTGCCAGAATATATGGAGAAGCTGTGAAGCAGAAACTTAAGCAGTAAAACTTTTTTACAAAATATAATATTTGTATATAATGTTAAACCTTACAATATACTCTTTAATAAAAGTTAGTTCAAATTAACAATCTTTCATTTATAAAATTTCAACACTAACTGGTGCTCATTTCTAACTATTCTCCTTATAACCAATTCCGATTTAAACCCATGCATTCTCATAATTTCAATAACTTCATTTGGAATGTTATCTTGAATCAGCAAGAGGTAGAAGGTCCCATCCTCAGCTAACTTCTTTGGTATCATGTGTAGTAGTCTGTCGGTAATTTCTCGTCCCTTTATGCCACCTGCCCAACTTGCTGTAATATCTTTCCCCCCACATTCCTGTGACTCAGTTACCACATATGGTGGATTAAATATTATAACATCAAACTTGTTATCAACAAAGAAATTTACAAGATCCATATTCACAGGTTCCAACAATACTTTGTTGTACTTAGCTGTACTTATTGACATTTCACAGGCTTTCCAATTAATATCTGTGCTTACACAAAAAGTATTTGGAAATACCATGCCAAAAGCTGTAATGACAACTCCACTGCCCGAACCAACTTCTAAGCAGAATGTGGGGTTCTTAGCTTTTAAATATTGTAGGTCCTTTTCTAAAGCATCAATCAGCAAGAAGCTGTCTTCAGCTGGTTCATATACATGGTCAAAATCAGCCTTATCTATGTGGTTCTGGTATGGAGTTTCTAACTTAGTTGATGCTGTCATCTTGTGGCACCAGACCACTGGTACTTTGTTCTGGTTCTTGGGGTTCTTGGGTTTCTGGTAAAACAGCTGTGCGAACGCCTTTGTCTTTATTGATTGAGCGTCTTATTTCATTTAGTCTATCCTAAAATTGAAATAAAAACAGAAATATATTAAGTGAGTTCTGTGATAAAATTGACAATTTACATGATGTCTAACAGTAGTTTAGTTTTTATGATGAATTCAGTGAAGATTTCAGACACCCAGCAAAGTTATTTTTTTATTGAGGGGTATGGGCTATTGTAAGACTTGTAACATTGCAATCTGTGTAGATCTATTATGCTTGCCCTTATTAAAAGTTTGCTACCTAGACCCTTCTCAACATATTCCCTTACCCTGACTACCAATATTAAGTAAATTATAAATCATATATTAACCTGTAATTACAATCATTAAGTGTTACCATTTGTCAATTACTAACCTGTGAGGCTTGTAATACATTAAGGACTACAGTCACTTTGTGCTTGCATGCAATCAATTTCTTCACATAAGGATCTAAATCAGGGTGATTGTTCACTGCCTCACGCACTTTCTGCAACTCCTCATTCAGTGAGTCTATCTGCTGTTTCAATTCTAATTGAGATATTCTAAAAATATAATATAATAAAATTCACTATTAGAAATTGTATTTTCTTTAAGAGGGTAAAAGTTTTAATGAATTATATAATGATAGTTAATTAAATCAAAATATCCTTATTCATGTAAATAAAAATATGATATGTCAAATTTACTGCCATTTCTGAGTACTTTGAAGCTAAGAAAAACTGACAAGAAACTCAACTCATTTTCTTTTCAAATGTACTTGTACCTAATTACAATAATACAGATTAATTTTGAAAGAAAATGACTAAGAATGTATCTTATATATTCAGTCAAGATTTGTGAATCTCATACTTTTGAAACTCTGTCCAGAATTCTATAAAAACTGTAAAGTTACAGCAGTACATGGTATTATAGAGTACATCAATTAAGTTATATACTATATTAACGAACATCTAGTACATATGCAATTCAAGGCTTATATATTTATTAAGACTTTAATGCACATAATTTTAAAGTACACATGGCGGACTTAACACCATGCGGCTTAATATAATTCAACCGACCCCATCCTCGTGGCCTTGCATGATTAATGGATGACCTAATAAGCTGTATTGTTTTTGTGAAATTATTTTTAACTAAGTAACAGAAAGCATGACAGCCCTGCTTTGTTTTTCTAAGATTATACAAATGAAATTTTTCATGAATACTGAAAATGTTAAACTAAAAATATAATAAGTTTCATTCTCAGAGTCTTTGACGAATTATAATGATTAAATTTATTTTTACAACTGAAACGATTAACAATTATTACCTTTTTTTCAAACTACCTGCTAGAGGAACATTTGCAAAATAAAACATAGAAATTATAATACTTTCCCTTACAAAAAAGGAAGTTAATTACCTGGTGGCCCTTACTCTGTCGTCAAGCTGATCAACAGTAGGTTTTAGCAAGCCCAATAAACCTTCAGCAAGGGTGTCTCGAGTTGGATTGTCACATAAATTGCCTGTATTCTCATCGGCAGAAGTTGTGCTCTCAGTATCGTCCATAGTGTTAACTGAGGTTGCATTCATACCAACGAGTGCTTCATTTTTATAATAAGATTTTATAACATATTAATTAATTAATTACAGAATACGAAAATGAAAACAATATGAAATAGAAAATAATCTATTTTTACATTGACAGTGCCTGTCACTTTTGACAGATACTAAGATAGAAATTTTTTGTTACTCTGTGTACTAAAATCGAAGTATAATATAATATATACTAAAATAAAATGTATTAACATTTTTTTACTATGCCAGTGAAAAAATTACTTTTAATTTCCGTAGTCAATATTTCTATAATATTGTACAAAGGTGATAAAACTACACAAAGAGTAAAAACCTTTTTCTCAGACGTATTTTTATATCATAAATAAGAAGGCAAACTTGCTATATCTACACAAAAATCCTAGCAAATTTGGAAGCTCTGCTTCTCAACTAATGGTCTGACCTAATGTTCATCAGGTTATCAATTGCCACGATGGGCTAACTCCACTTATCATCCTCCACTGGTGCCCCGCCAGCGTAAACCGTTAGTGCGGGTGCACCATTCCATTATCATCCGTAAAAAAAAACTCGCCCAATAGATTAATATTCTGCACTTGGCATTAATAAAATGTTATTAATGGTTGTAAAAACTCACGTGTTATTAAGCGGAGTAAACTCCGCTTACTTTTTAAAATATATTAATAACTAATCAAAATAAAAAACGCAACACATTTTAAAAACACTATTTATCAACTACACAATGCGATTTACATAAATCTTATTTCGCTTATAAGTAGGTACCTATTATAAAGTAGACACCTATTCATTTATTATATTATACGCTGTCCTATTGTGTGATTCTTTTCAAAACAACTATGTACCTATGTTGAGCAATATATCTACAGTACTTTAATGTTTATCAGTCCACAGAATTCAATTTTAAACTAATACCTAAAAACATCTGATTTAAATATCATGTAAAATATTCAATATAAAATGGGAACATTAATAATTGTTCACGAAAAGAATACTATAGATTACATTAAATCTGTTTACCAAATTGGGAATGCAATCAGCCCTAGATAGATAGCTATCTGGATTTGTTTACTATCATATCTTAATGTTGGAAGATTAAGTATTTCATAAATTGTCACATTTAGAATATGCGAATGTAGTATTACGTATTTAGAAATACGAAATGTATTTAAAACCTCTCAAGAATGGCATCATAATTATAATCTATGCATCTACTTAAATTAACATCTCAAAACGTAGTAAGTATTATTAAATATAAGTATATAGTTTTGGTGGCATAAATAATTGTGTATATCTATTAGGTAATTAATGTTTTAAATAGCTAAAATACTGTTGGGATTAGTTAGGTACTATTAAATTTATTTTAAGTTGAATCCATGAGCAGTCGCATTTGATCCTTTACATGTGATTCCATGTCAGAGAAATCTCTTAAAATGTCTTCAATCATCTCGACTAAGATTGTCGGCCACTGGAGCTCAAGTGCTCGTAATCTTTGTGCCGCTCCGCAAGCTAAGTCGATAGCATGTGACAATTGACCTCTACCACGCACTCGCCAACTCATGTCCTCCTGTAAAATGCCAAGTACTTATAAGCTTTTATTTTTTTTATGATATATTTATGACTTAGTTCCAAAATAACTTCATGCATTTATATATAAATAATTACGCCTAAAGTATTTTTTTTTAAAGGATGATAATGGAATGGTGCACCCGCCTGCGCTAACGATTTACGCTGGCGGGGCACCAGTGGAGGATGATAAGATGAACATGAAGTCAGGTCAGTTAGCCCAACGCGACAAATTCACTGGGAATGTATCACGATGGTTTTCAGTGGGAACCGCGTGGAGGGCGATCTGACATGGTACATTGCTAGCCCCCCCCGTCTAAAGTATTCCCATGCTCGTAATTACAATAATTATAACACATATATCTTTATGGCTTAACTCTGATGGATCATCCGGTGAAGCTGTAAAGGCCAGCAGCGGCCAACGGTATTAGAGTATTCCGAAAAAAAGTCTCTGATGTAAAGTCGAGAGGCATTGTCGTAGTAGTGTACGTAATACTCACATGCACATCTAACGACGCTAGCCTACGCCGTCTTTAGTAACAGAATAATTGAAACCTACGATCTTTGAATCTAAGTAGAAATAACTGCTACTTACTTGTGAAACGTGTCCCTTTTTGTATTGTAAAGCTTCTTTAGCTATTACATCTCTCAGTGCGGGGTCAGCGGCTCTTAACCAAGCTTTAGCACTAACGGAACTGTTGCCACTTCTGCCGAGCCGTGAGAGTAGAGGTTGCAAAGGAGCATCGGGAAGAGCTCTCAGAACTATATCACTGAGTCCATTGTATGTTTTATTTGCTAATTTTACTTCGTCATCTGTCACCTACACAAAACACAGTATTTGTAGACTTAATCCAAAGTAATATAAAAAATGCGGAGGATTCGCTGACTGTCCCTTTTGTTATTGGATTATACGGTTGGAAATTTGATATAAAATTGATTGTTTTACTACCAAATAATTTGATTAATAATTGTATTAGCAATTTTGTTTCGCTATAAGAAAAATACCTATATATAACTAGCTGACCAAACAACGCTATGATGTGTTCAGTAATTCTAATATTAATAAAAATACTAATACTAATAATATGGTGCATTAAAACTATTATATTTAAGTTGAACCAAATTATACACAGTAAGCAAAATTTCATAAAAATTGGCTCAAGTTTTGTAGCACAATACGGACAAAGGTTGCCGCGAGATATTATAATGAAAATCTCGGGGCATACAGAAGTATTAATTATATTTACCGCTTCGTCGTTTATTTCTTTTAAACCCCAGTGAGCCAATCTATAGACTGCATATTCTCGCCAACATTTTCCATGTATTGGGTTACCTTCTGGTAAAACTGTTAATCCGGTAAGACCACGTAATTCAGCTAGGGCATGTAACTGTCCCAACCACTGAAGGCCAGTCGCCCGAAAAGATATATGCGTAACATTTGGAAACCTAAAAAAATATAATAACTATTTATCGCTATTAATTCATGAATGATTCGTATAAAACTCTATAAATTTTTATTTGTTTTCTTAAAATATTAATTCTGGTATGCACTCACTTTGATTTCAATTCTGGAAGAGATTGTGCCACTGCGTTGAAATGCACATAATGGAAAGCTGCTTTTAATACAGAGCGTGCTTTTTCCCAATCCCAGTCCCTGGCAAGACGTCTAACTGCTCCAGCTCCCCACGCACTCACCACTCCATCACAAACTTCAACAAGGTAATCTACACCTATAATTACAATGTTATTATTATTAAACCATTTCTCGTACACTCACATAATTTTTTTTATTAAATTACTATAATATTTTACCTTGTTCTCGATCTTTCGATGAAGGGACGGCTTTGAGTACTGGTTCTGATGATTTTAAGCTAGCTAAACTCTTTCCGGACTTCACTCTAGCAGTGGATGCTCGACTGGCCGAAGAAGCTCTTTCGTTTCTTCGTGTTATGGTAGCGCTTCTGATATTCCTATTACTGATCCGACTATTAATTGAGCCCTCTCTTTTAAAAACTTTAGTACTGTGATCGCTACCAGATGTAGATGAATTTGCAACAGAGCCAAAGTTTGTGCTAGTAGATATATTACTAGCATTTTCACTGTGATCAGAATTCTTATTACCTTTCATTCTACGACATTCTGGATCACAGACGGATTTAGAACGCATAGTGCTGAAATGTTCTCGTCGCCTTAAAGCTGTAGGCATACGTCTAACTTGTCTCTTATTTGTTTCGTCTTCACTTTCACTAGTTGAAGACGGCAATGAACTAAACGATGAGTCCACGATTGGATCTACACTAGAAATGCTTTCCCATCTCTTTAAAATTGGTTCATTACTATCTGCTAATTTAACATTTTCCAAAGATGAAATAATTGGCAGCAATATAGGTGGTAATCTCAGATCGCTACTAGTGGAAGTTGAATGTGAAGCGTCTGTATCTTGAGAAACGCTTCTATCTGAAAAGTTTACGCGTCTATCGGAACACTTCCGAGTTGTCGCACTCCTTTGTAATTTTCTCATAGGAGATGCTTTCGTACCGTTCATCATGTTTGCTTTGATATTATTATCGCTGCTGTTATTTTTTCCATCGGAATCTTCAGCTTCAATATGCTGTAAAGACACAACTACATCGGGAAGATTTGACGGTTCAATTGTCTGCGTTCCATCGTGCGCGAGTGTTACAGTTGAAGCATCTATTGCAAATTCTTTTTCCGTTTCATGAGTTTTGTTTGAAGCTGTAAGATTCATGAAACATTTGTTTTCCGACCTAAATATAAAAAAAAAAACATTTTAGCATATGAAGTGATACAATATCATAGAAATAACAATCGAGTAACTACTAAAATTTTATTATTGATCTAAAAATAGAGGAAACCTAAGTAATTCCCAATTGGTGCGTGCATTATTGATAATTTGATCACGTCGTGCAGCTTGTTGTGCTGTACCACCTAGTGCACAGTACGCAGCATGAGCTGCTTCTTTATTTTCCCGCCATGCCATGGCAGCTCTTCTAACCTGTAAAATTTAATTGAAATATTGATCCATATTTAAAATATCTTTGATTTGTTTATTATTATGTAAAAAAACCATTACAAATTTTACCTGATCAGTCACATGCATATTTGTTAAAGTAAGTAAACTTGGCAAGTATGATACGAGAAAAGGCGTACAATCTCCTCCTAAAGCCACAGGATTCCCATCTAGGGAAACATCAATTAATGATGTAGCTTCAGCCAGCGAAGATACATCTTCTACACTAAAAGTAAAACAACCAAATCAAATAATAAATAAATTTGAAAATTATTTACTAATGCATTTTCAATACAGATTAAAATATCGTTCTTATTAAAACTTAATTCATATTTTCAAGAATATTAAAATAATTCACTGATACTTTATTACTGTCATCATGCCCTATATAAAAAACAAATCATATATTATGAATTTTTTATTTACCTTTGCAAATCATTATTTCCAAGGTATAGTTTTTGTAATTTTGGCGCATTTTGAAATCCGAGTAATTTTCTCAGACGATTTCTTTTTAAATTTAATTCTCTTAAAGACACCAGTCCCTGTAGATCAGTTGGGCCAATGCATTTTATCTGGTTACCAGCCAAATTAAGTACTTTTAGATCATTTAAGTTGGACAGTCCACCTACTTTACTTATTCTGTTTCCATGTAAATCTAAAACTTCCAATTTTATGAGATTTGTTAATCCTTCTATTCTTTTGATCCTGTAAAGATAATTATGTAATTATTTATATTTTTGTATATTATTATTATTATATAGACAAAAATAAGTAGGTGTGTTTATGAAAAAAATATAAATTAATTATCTACCTGTTTTTCCCAAGTAAAAGTACTCTTAAACTAAATAGTCTTTCTAAAGAATGGATCTTGTCTATTTGATTGTCGTAAACATCCAGAAACACTAGTTTACCCAAATCGAGAGGTGATAATCCAGACAGGCTGTTTATTAAATTATGTTGTAGTGATAATAGTCTCAAGCCTGGTTCTCCAACGATATGAGGAATAGATGACAATCCTCTCCTGAAAGGTTCGAACATATCACAATTAAGAGAACATAATTAATATGTTTCTTCTGTAATTAAAGAAGGTAATCCTCTGAAACCAATAATTTTGATTAATATTTTGTTAGAATAATATAAAAATAATAATATACAATTACTTTGTCATAATAAGTTCCAGCTCATACTAATCATTAATATTTTAAAGAAACGTAACGTAACATCTAGATATCTTATTATCAAATCTTCTACTGAGTAACTACCACCACACTGCGATCGCCAACCAGCAAACCAACCGTGGCGATTATGGTAATATGAATATAATCCCAAGGGCCCGGTCTCCAGTTCCCGGCGGTCCTGCTAGTCTTGACCATAGCAGGGGTTGCGAAGAATCCTCACCCGACCAGGCTACCACAAACAACGACCATTGGCCTTTTTTTAGTGGAAGATTTGGTCAACATCGCTCGAAAGCATTGGTTGCAAGCAGCGCAGAACCGATCGTCGTGGAGATTTTTGGGGGAGGCCTTTATTCAGCTTGTTTTCCTACCTGTCTAAAGTTATTCTATCCGGTAGTCGATCCTTTTCTTGTGGTGTCCGTGATAGTTGCACCTTTCCCTCTCCCACCGCTTGTAAGTTAACCATATCATCTCTGACGTCATCTTTATGAAGAAAGTCATTTCTGAGAGGACATGAAAAAATATACCACATGATTATTATCGAACAATTCTACCTGAATATCGGCTTCGTAACAAGAACATTGAGTAATTGAAGTAATAGTCAAGTGACCTTATTACTCCAGAGAAACAAAAATACCTACAGAATGAGATTCAGAATATAAGTAGAGAGTAACCTAAATACCAAAATACCAAATTTTTAAGAAATAAACTCCGAGTCTCTCATTGAAAAAGAAAATCGATCCAGTAGCTATGTCTTGGAACATATAGGTACTGCAATATTAACGTATATCTGTATTTTATATATCTTTTTCTTTTATTAAGTAGCAAAATCGGACGACTTCAGACAAATTTAAAGCTAAAAATAATTAGGAATCAAACTGCAGTTTCGTTTACTTTCGCCGTATCTAATATTTGAAAGTAGGTAGGTATGTAATATTGGTAGTCGTGCAAATTATGATTACTCAAATACCCTGTTAGTGTTGTATGTGATCGCGTAAGCGCAGTCCTTGGATCGGCAATCGCAGGTTTAATTTGTAGGAAAAGTCGATTATCTCCAGCAGCCCCTTGATCTATAGGAGTATTTGTATCGAGGGATTGAGCAGATCGTCCTCTTGTGCGAAACGATATTTTTCTAATCTGTAGAGATAAAATATTATATCAATGCACTTGCAGGTAACTTACCTAATCTATGTAGTAGTCATGAGAATATAAAACAATTTGCATATTATAATATTGCATAGACAGAAAAAAAAAACCCAAAATCATATTAGAGACTTACATTTCCGCGATTGTATGTATGCATTACAAATATACACTATTATCTACGTGTAGAAACATATATAATTGGCCCCGGTTTATACAATTTTATTTTAGTAAAATAAATTCGTACAAAAGGCAGTTTTGGTCCATTTTATTTGTGACAAGCCGTCGCTTAGTTACAAACAAAATATCATTCAATAAGGTCATCACAGATATTGAACTTCGTTCTTATGTAGTATTATATATTACAATTCTATGCACAAAGCAGTATAATTTTATAGCTCGTTTCAACTACGACATTCCCTGAAATATTTCAGTAACTACTAAAACTTATATAAAATGTAGGTGCATGTATATGTAAGTTACTGTTTTATGATCTTGGCATTTCATTTTAATGAATAAGACCATATAATATCTATCTGGATCCGTTTAACATCGTCTACGTCACATTTTCCCTGATTTTGCAACATTTTTCTTTCCAGCTACGCTCCTATTAAAAAGAGGGTGATGTTATAAAGCGTATAGTATTCCTCGATAAACGGGATATCCCAACACTAAAACAATTTATAAATGCCGGAGACTTGTGCCGTTTAGAAAAATAATCACAAAACTTTACATCTTTATAATGTTAGTAAATGATGTGTAGAAGATCGTATTTTAATGTACTGTTTTTTTTGTGTATGACAATGGAATGGTGCACCCGCCTTCGCTAACGGTTTACGCTGGCAGGGCACCAGTGGAGGATGACAAGATGAGCATGAGGTCAGGTCAGTTAGCCCATCGTGGCAAATTCACCAAGAATTCATCACGATGGTTTCCAGGAGGAACCACGTGGAGGTCGACTTAATATGGTACATTGTTAGCAATGGGAGTTACTAGTTCCCATTGCTAACAATCCCCTTCCCCCCTCTTAATGTATTTACTGGTACAAACACTTACACTGATCCTCTTGGAATTATGGGGAATTCGAATTTCTGATCCTAAGACGGACCTATTGCGAGGGAGTACAAATTACAATCCCTGAATGGTAGGCATCTGGGATGATAATCATAATAATAATAAAAGAGCTTTTATCGTAGCGCTGATGTACATAATTCCGTGGTTGAGAGTATCTAAGAATAACGAGACTGGTAGGATTGGTTTGTTGCATTTGTGTTACTTAAAATTTCACGGAGGTGTCTGGAGGTGCTTTTATGCTTTTTATAAGACATTGCGTGTAGGTTTAGAAATCTGTGACTATTTTACACAGCAAATTTACACAGTGGTCACGGCGCAGTTTGATAGTTGCGATCCTTTGATTTTCTTTTAGAACAGAAGAAACTTGAATGTTTTACTATTATCTGAGAATCATGAGACAGTGTCAAATCGAAATCTTTATGTATACACAGAATTCGATTTGTATTTGGAACAGTCAAATGATTAATAGATAATCACATATTGATATCAAAATAATTAATTATTGCAATTATCTTATTAGTGCAGTCACGAGAGTGGGTTGAGGAGTAGGACATTCACAAATATTTTTTAATGAAAAATAGACCTTATGCTTCTTAACTTTAAAATTCATTTCAGTTCCTACTTAGGAAATATACTTTACATTTTGTACAACGCCATCTAGTTAACAATACATGTTAATAATATTGTATATAATAAGTTTTATATTCAGTCAATCCGTCATTAACTCTGTCTGATTTTCTTCAAAAGCCGTCAATCAATCAGTCAACAAATCAAAACAAAATAACATCGCAAGACAAAAATAAATATTATTGAAAATTCCTGCAAATATATATTTTTTAAAGAGTTTTATGTATAAATGTTCGTATAATATAATAAAAAAATTGTTCTATAGTATAAGTCCTTCCGATTATAAAATGGTTCGACATTTTCCAAATCCATACGAGGATTACAAGCCTGGTGCCGATTTAGCTATCAAAAAAGAAGAGATCATAAACCTTATTAATGAACACGTAAATAATATTCGCAGACGTCTGCAACCTATACGGACAAATGTCGATGGTGGACTGTACGTCGGGATTACCGGAGTATCTTTTATGTTTTATTATCTGTCTAAAAATTCTCTCTTGTCAGAGCTAAAACGTAATTATCTGGAGAAAAGTCTAGAGTATATAAAGCCAGCTTTAGAAGTATCGGCTGGAGACAAAACATCGTTTTTACTGGGTGATGCTGGTACATATGCTTTGGCTACCGTATTGTATAAAGAATTGGGAAATGACCAATATTCAGAGATGTTGGGAGCATATAAGTCTCTTTATAGTTTATATTTGAATCCAAAGTTTCTAAAATGTGGTGGAGACGAATTCTTTGTTGGCCGAGCCGGATACTTGGCTGGGGCTCTGTGGTTAACCCGTGAAATACAAACACAAGTCTTTAGTAATGAAGAACTGTACAAAATTTGTGATATAATAGTGGCATCAGGTAGGGAATATTCAACAAAACACAGGAGTCCTTCCCCTTTGATGTACCATTATTATAAAACTGAATATCTTGGTGCAGCCCATGGTATCAGTTTCATCTTACAGATGCTGTTGACTGTGCCTGGGTACTTGGATTACAATAACTCGGCAGCTAAAGATATTAGAGCTAGTGTTGACTTTATAGCTTCATTGCAGACCGAAGAGGGTAACTGGCCATGCTGTATGGAAGAGATAGGACTAAGTGACTACAAATTAATTCATTGGTGCCATGGTGCGCCTGGCACTGTATATTTGATGGCAAAGGCTTATCTTGTTTATAAAGATGACCGCTTCTATCATGCTTGTGTCAAAGCAGGTGATGTTGTGTGGCGAAAAGGATTACTGCGCAAAGGTCCTGGCATCTGCCATGGAGTGGCTGGCAATGGATATGTATTCTTGTTGCTATATAGAATAACAGGTGATGAAAAATACCTACATAGAGCTAAACTATTTGCTAATTTTATGAATACAGATGAGTTCTTGAGAGATGCAAGGCAACCTGATAATCCTGAGAGCTTGTATGAAGGCACAGCTGGTACTGTCTGTTTCCTGGCAGACCTCTTGATTCCTGAAAAAGCAGAATTTCCATTCCAGGATGTCTTCTCGATCTATTAAACTGTTTAGATTTGTACTTTATACATGTTTTGTTAATTATTTATTACATAATTTTGGTTAAAATAGATTTAATGCTAATAATTGCTGTAATTTTATTGTCAATACCCTCATTTTTTATTCCAATATGTTGTTGACAGTAATGAAGCCCATTTAACCATTACCATGCTTACCTTGATGTGTGTAGGTACTAGTTTATTCTACCTAGAACTTCCAATCATGCATTTCGGTTACTTTATATTACATTTGTTTTCTATTGCAAACAAAAATATTATAATAGATTTTCTCACATACAAACATTTAAATAATATAGTCATTTTGCATTGTAATCGGCCAAGTGATATAATATACATTCAGAAATTGTTTTATAAGAAGAATATTCAAGTAAAAACATTAGAAATTAGGAGCAATAATACATCATACCAAATTAGTAGTAATAAATCTAAAGTTGGAATAGTGCTGGATACATCATGTGATGGCTGGTCACAAATTTTTACTAGTTTTGTGACTGAAAATATATTTAAAACTTTTATTTGGACAATAATGACTGATAATCTATCAGCAACTGCTCATGTACTAAATCAGCAACCAATAGATATTGATTCAGATGTGATAATTGCTTGTAGAAATGGGGAAATATATCGTCTTTATGAAGTGTACAATACGGGATATTATTCTAATGGGACCTATAAATTAAATGAAGTAGGATTTTGGGACAATGAAATTATCATTAATAAATCATTCAGACGTGATTTGAGCGGTGTTATCTTGAAGTGCCCAGTGGTAATAACGGAGAAGGTGGAGAATGAAACTTATGTTGATTACTTAGTGAAGTCAAGGAAACCACACATTGATAGTTTGCACAAGCTGAAGTTTTTTACTATGCTGTTGTATTTGCAAGATATGTATAGTTACAGGTACAATAATGTTTTGTTCACAACACAACACTGTATACTAATAGAGTTTTGTGGTGCTGCTCGCGTGGAATAAAGCTTTTTACTGTTGATAATCTAGCATCTTAAAGAATTTTAAATCTTTTAAGTATTTACTTGGTGTATACATTAGGTACAAACAAGCAATGACATATGTGTAGAAAAAGTACTAATTTTTTCTTGTAAATAAATCGTTATCAATGTTTTAGATTTATTTCCAAGGTAGACTATAAAGTCACATGCAGTCCCGCATATTATATTGCTATATGTATGTATACTAACCAGCTTACTTTGTAAAATATTTCATTTCGGGTGTCAGCTTGTTTCATAAATAAAATCTAAAATTGTATGTGTAAGGTTGTCTTGAAATTGTTTCCAGCAAAAGGCCGCCTTGTCCTGTATTCTAAATAATTGTACCTATATTATGTCATTGTATAAGGTAAATAAAGCATATTCTATATATTTATTAATTTATTTTTAGTTACGATTTCAAACGCGTTCTTTCCTGGGGTTACAACCGTAACGGTAGTTTTGACGGTCTGGTTGGAGCGCTACAGCGTCAGGAAGCAGATCTGAGCGGTAGTAGTCTGTTCTTCAGATCTGACCGAGCTGCTTTCATAGATTACATCATAGAGACGTGGACATCCAGGTATAGTAGGGATTTTTGTATGAATGATTACCGTCAGCGCAGGAGGGCGCAGTGAAGGATGATAGGTTGAGAAAGAAGTGTAGTCGGCTATTCGTCCGTCGTATTTTTTTTATTCCCCAGGAATTAACCACAGCTGTGGAAATGAGAACAATCATCATCGTATCACAACTTAGATTCCGGGGTGCGGAGGTAGTAATTTGGTACATTGCTAAAAACGAGTGCCACTAATTCCTGTTATTACTCTTCTTACTCCCTTAAAACTGTTTTTGACCATTTTGAAAGCTGCTCTCTGTTTGTTATATAGGTTATGTCGTGATGTATACCAATGTACCATGTCAAGTTGACTTCCACGCGGTTTCCCCTGGAAACCATCAAGATAAATTCCTGGTGAATTTGCCTAACTGACCTGACCTCATGCTCATCTTATCATACTCTACTGGTGCCCCGCCAGCTTATACCGTTAGTGTTATCATTCCTAAAAAAAGTCATGATGTTTAAATATTGTATAATTGGGTTAAAATAAAATAGTCATTATTTTTTATTATATGCATTGAATTATTATTTATTTGTTATTTAAATGATAACCAGAAAAAATACTCTGGACTGCAATGGTAATAAAAACCATCAAGAATAAAATAAACAGACACGTGGGGAGGTTGGTACTTTCGTATTTTCTTACGAAAGGCTACAATCGAATAATAGCTCTAACTATCCCATCAGTCATTATCGTCGTGACGAGTCAAGAGATGAAAAGTTCTATTAACCTTTCCTCACTTTCTATGCAGAGTCGATAGAGTTCTTCTATGTAGAGTTGTATTGATAGAAAATGCTTCAGTTTTACTCGGTAGAAATCTGTCGTTCATTGTTTTTTTTTTAAATTTAGGAGTACAAATAATAATAATAGTAATAATCTCAGGACAATTCACACAGAGCCATCTAGACCCAAGTTAAGCTAGCTAAAGCTTATGGTATGTGTACTAGATAACTGATACATATACATAGATATTTTTTTTTGTAAATACATACATATTATACATAGAAAACACCCAGACCGATACAAACAATCATACTCATGAATACAAATGTTTGTGCCATGCGAGGAATCGAACTCGCGACCATCGGTCGTAAAGCGGTGTGCTTGACCGCTAGACCACCGAGGTCGTCAATGTGTACTTGTTACTGTTTCACGAAATAAATTCTTGACAGGTTTGAATGAAATTTGCTACACTAATAAATCATACCCTTTATTACCGAATATATTTATTTATGAGTTCAGGATCACAATAGTGAGCATGTGTGTAGCTCCGTGTTGGCTTCTTAATTAATTTCACACTTCCATATTTACATTACATCTAAAATTAAATTTACTGTAAAGATAAATATTACCAATTTAAACTTTTATCTACAAATTTATAAATTGGTACCGAATTTTACCAGATATGAAGTGAATACAGTCAGGAATATAGTAGCGTAAACACAACATTCGTTATACAAATAAATTAAATTAAACACTTATAGATATAGGTATCAGGGTATATAGCTAGCAATAAATTTAACATTACTTCCTGCAGGCAATGTTTTATATTTCGTCATCCAAAACATCCAGGAGCCTTTTATACAATTTACACGAGACCGTTGACTCCTGAAGTATGGTATTGTATACTAGGCATGCTGGTTGTATCGGCTACCATTTTGGGCCTGATGTTTAAGTTAAAAACGCAAAGAACAAACGATGCAGAATCCTCATTCAGTCTCGCCATCTTGTTTTCGTGGAGTGCTATATGTCAACAAGGTAAATAATAAATAAAATTAATGTTAAAAAAGAATAAATTTTCTTAAACTTACACAGAGACCTTTAGTTCCAAAATAAGCAAAGCTTGCAGTTGCAACTTTATAGTGCTTGTATCTACTTAGGTGCGTTAACAAATGTGGACTAATGACCCCATTACTAGCAATGCACCATGTCAGGTTGACCTCCCCTGGAAACCATCGTGATAAATTCTTGGTGAATTTGTCACGACTGGGCTAACTGACCTGACTTCATGTTCATCTTATCATCCTCCACTGGTGCCCCGCTAGTGTAAACCGTTAGCGCAGGCGGGTGCACCATTTCATTATTATCCATAAAAAAAAACAAGGTCAGTGGTCTAAGGATTTAGCACATTACATTTCGATAGTTGCGGGTTTGACTCCTCGAACAATACAAACATTTACATTCACGAGTATGATTGTTTGAATTGGTCTGGGTGTTTCCTATGTACTGGCCAGTAAGGTATCATAAGTTCACGTATTTATTCTAGGTACAAACTAAAATAAAATATTTCACAGGCATGGGCATACAAAGCCGTACCATGATGGTGTCGATGAAGATAACGATACTGGTTATATTCGTGTATGCTTTGACTTTATACCAATATTACAATGCGATCGTCGTCTCGACGCTGCTACACGAGTCTCCCAAGAACATTAGAACGCTGGAGGATCTTTTGAAGAGTAACATTAAGGCCGGCGTTGAAGATGTTCTATACACTAAGGATTATTTTACGGTTGATTTATTTATATATTTTTTATTATGATATTTATTTTTTTTTGCTCCAAATACAGAAAACATTTTTATAGTATAGGCGACAAACAAACCTGCGGTTTACCTGAAGTATCATTATCATCATCACCAGATAAATTGCACGTTAATGAATTTTCTTAAGAAGGTATAAGCTCTCTTTTTGATGTTTATCAAAAAGCAAACGAAGTCGGGGATTACACCTAAAGTAAATACCTGATAAACTGTTAGTACTATGGACCCCATTGTACCTTGTGAGGTTGATCTTCACGTGGTATTCCCCCTGGAAACCGTCGTCATGAATACCTTGTGAATTTACCACGATGTAGGTCATCGTGGAGGAGGATGGTAAGGTCAGGTCAATGACCTGACCTCATGCTCATCTTATCATCCTCCACTGGTGCCCCGCCGGCGCAAACCGTTAGCATAGCCGGCTGCACCATTCCATTAATATACATAAGTAAAAATACCTAATAAACTTATCCACAGCGTACAACAGACCCCATAGCATTAGAAATGTATAGCAAGAAAATTGCTACCAAGAATCACTACAACTTTTTCGAGCCATCGTACGGCATGGCACTCGTTAAACAGGGTGGCTTCGCTTTGCACGTGGACAGCGTGGTGGCTTACAGGATAATGAGAGAAACATTCACAGAAAGAGAGAACTGCGAGCTTCAGGAGATAGAAATGTACCCGCCGCAGAAAATGGGCGTGGCCGTTAAGAAATGGTCCCCATATAAAGAACAGATCACTTATGGGTATGTACATATTTGTGGCTAATATAATTATTTTGGAATTGTAATGTCATATCATTATTAAATAAAATCATCACAATTATGACTAAATTTCTCTGCACGTAAATAGGTTGTTATTTAGGTATTCAAATTAATGATTTCTTAGGGGATCGGCATGGAGGTCGGCCAATATGATAAATCAAATAAAAGATATTTCTTCTCTTGGAGGACATTATAGCCGCTTATGAACGTCAATCTTTGAGAAGACCTGGCAAGAAAATCAATTTATTTATTTTTAAAACCAGTTTATTTACATTGTGACCTTATATAGGTGTATATGTCTAATATTCACAGAAAATCCCTTGCATGAACTACTATTGCCATGCCCATCTATCATTCGTTATCAGTTCACAATTCTAAAAATCCCCTTCTTCACAATTCAGATAATTTGGTAATACCCTATTTATAATCTAATTATAGATAGGGTATCTATAATTGCTATTCTAATTATGCAGTATTCGCAAGATGTTTGAATCTGGTATCCTCCGCCGTCTGAAGTCCGTGTGGGACGTACCGAAGCCCCCATGCGTGAGTACCCCAGACAGCAGCGTGTTCTCCGTGTCCTTGCGAGAAGTCTCCATAGCCTTCATCTGTCTCATCGTGGGAGTTATATTATCTGTGTTTGTACTTATGTGCGAAATACTTGTACATAGAGTTAATGGGAAACGCGTGGAATTCAGAAATTGATTATTTTTCATATAAATTGTAGTGGCATATTGGCAGTAGTATGTAATATTATATTATCTGTGGCAGTAGCATAACAAGCCTCAGTAATGAGCAGCTTCGGATCTTAATTTTTTTCGAGGGCCGAAAACTAAAGCTCCCCAGCCCTACTCCTTCGTCCACGTTTGTACAATATACATATATATATTAACATACAATTTGTCCAATTTGTATTGCTGTTAATTATTGAGCAATTTTCAAATATATTCAACACAAATAATTTACTTGGCGTCTCAGTGGTCAAGTTCTCAAAGATGCATTAACGATGATTTGTGTATTCACCTGCCAAGTTCGAATTTACCGCCCCCAGAACATGCCACCCAGGGCATGGGCCCCGTGTTGCCCCCCCCCCCCCCCTTGGTTCCGAGGCTGTTAATTACAAAAAGATTGTTAGTTTAAAAATAAAATCCATCAACCCATCTCTCGGTTTATTTATTGTATTGTTTATCTGGATACATATTTTGTAGCAAGGAACTGTTACAAACTTATTCGGTCGTGTGCAAAATTACAAAAGATCACAAAATCAATCTTTTCTCTATTTCAATTAATAATTGTGGGTAGTGACAACACTACACTTTTGCGGAGTAATTAAAGAAATCTGTATATATAAAGTATGTTCTGACTTGCAGTATAAATTACATTTTACATTGTGTAAAAAAATTCAAAAGTAGTTTTTTTTACACAATGTAATTGTTCTGTTTTTTTTTCAAATTGCAATGAAATTTGTACCTAATTTTAGAAAAAAAATAGGTACGGGTTTAATAAAGATAACAGATTTTCAGATGGCATGCAAAAGAAGGTCGTAATTCTTAATAATTTAGCTATTACAAAAGACAAATGCTCCACTGTAATAGCTACTCGGTAACTCTATGGCATTTTCTCGGCTTAATACAAGCTGTTGTAATTTATTTTCTTAATAACATAAGTGTATCATTACATGATGTTTTGTATAAACCGTAACTTGCGATAATTGCCTGTGACTGGCAACATTACAACAACAACAAAAAAAAAAGTGGCATAATATATCTATGGGAATTCTGTCAGTCAAGAATGATGAGTTACTATTAAACTATAACTATAGTATCAGTTGTAAAGAGATACCAATCCGAATTGCCGTGATTGTAATAGCAGAAATACGAATGCAACCATAGCAAAAGTATTACAGTAGTAATAATTTTCTGTTTTTAAACTCAGAGACTGATATTAAATGCTGTATGCATATATAGCAATACCCCGCGTATTGCTGTATCGTAAATCTTTCTTTTAGATGATTAGTTTAACGTTTTCTACGAAGTATCATCAACATTTTAAGAATCGCAAAAAGCTGGAAACTTACGGAATACCAAATTTGTCTCTTGAGAACAAAAATAGATTCTGTAAATTTTTACCTACGAAATGGGGAAATTTCAGGCATCTCATTCTGACTTATATGTATATCTATTAAAAATATACATGGATTTTACATATTAAAATAATCACGTGACAGCAATCTGTTACATTCAGAAATAATTGTCAATTTACAATCCATATAGGTATGGGAAATTATTGACAGTTTCGTGAATACTATCTCAGTTTCGGAACCTATAGTTTGGACTATTCGTGTACTGTGCGACCAACTTATTTGAACATAACGTTGTTTTGCGATATAATTAAATTAGTTATCCACGACCGAGCGAAGATCAGAAGTAGGAGATGTTAGAAGACTGAAATTTAGGTTTGCAAAAATTTAAAGTAAATAAAAAAATGTATTAGGGTGGAGCAACCTTATCACATAAGGATTTAAAAAATAGTTTACATCCTATTCTGATACCTACTGAATTTCACAAAACTTCATAAGAATCGGTCATGCTGTTTCGGAGAATTTTGTATATTATACAACTATATATGTACACATAACTACTTCATTACCGAATATACAATATATTGTGTTCTGCGGAATTATTTAACATTATCTCTATAACTACATTCTACCATCGATACGGAATCATCTTTCATTTTAAGACCTAAGTGGTCACGGACAGTGCTTTCAGACGAGTTTCCTCTGACTACTTAATGGACTATTTTTCTCTATAGACTACATTTCAAAATTATATTAAGGTTTGTTAAGGCACCGCGCCTTTTGGTGTCCAGGAAAATAAATAAGTTACGCTAATATTAAAATAAACATCCGCTAATTTAAGGGTTTAATTGAAAGGATAAGTTGGCCGCATTGTATATTTAATATATATATATATATATATATATATGGGATGACACTATAATACAACTCTCATGTAAGGCCAAGCAATCAAACTTGCTCTAGTAGTTTTCTATTGTATATTCTTTATATATTTATAATGCAGCATCTGGAATATTCTGACCGGCGCCGCATACCAAGCGAACCATTAAAACAACCAAGTTGCAGCGAAAGAAACATAAAATACCTAAAATATATTTATAATACAAGTACTAATAACTAGACGTGTGCAATATAATGAATTCTAGTTTTGTTATATTTTATATTGTATGTAATTAGTGTTATATTGAAAATGTCAATAAACTAATTGAGCGTTCTCTAGTGTTACTGATTCAACAAATGTTAATTTTTAACATGCTTGACACTTTAGTTGTCGACTTAATGTACAGTATTTGTTCAAACAGTTACAGCAGTTTCGTACTTGGTTGATTATAGTCCGGCCGCTCATGGTCGGGATCGAATGGCCGATGTTCGGGATCTGGGCGATGTGATTTTGAACTGACGTACAATTTATATCAACTGATACGACCCAATAAACAGCGCAGTTTGATGTGGTTTGACTTTTAAAAACTATTGTTTTATATTTGTTAAGTAGTTAATAGTTTTAGCCCAAAATATATGTTTATTGTTATTGTTGTTGGAATAATTATTAATGTCTCTTGTAAATAAGGCAAATAAAAGTTAATTAGAATTTTGCCGTAAATTGTACGTCAGGTAAAGTTACATCGCACAGTCGACCTGTCTGAAACGCAAACTCTGAGCGGCCGGACTGTAATTTTTATTTCTTCATTGAACACTTGAATAAAATTCTAAAGCTAGCGACAGACCAAATTATTACCGAATCTCTGGCAAGTATCATTTATGTCTAAGTCTACCCTCTAATATTACAATCAATGATAGGTCAGTCGTCAGTATAAAATCCACTAATTGTTGTATGTAGATTACATTATTATGCATATACAATCATGGCAAAATGACTTAATAATAAAATGTCTAAAAGTTTGTAAATAAAGTAATGAATAAATTGCACTTTCAATAAAAACAGTTTCGTATTTATTGTAATAATTAAGTGTTAACTAAATATAGTAAATCATCGAGGCTACGACGGAAATAAATGTAGCAAACAATGAAGTTAGCTGATCTAACTTCACACTGCTGTGTATATTTCTTGCAGCAATAAATAAAAGTATTGGTTTTGTGATGCATAATAAACCTTATATACAATAAAATAGGGACCAATTTATATTACGGTAAGTATTTCAAATTTGAACACAAACCGTCACAATAATAAAGTAAAACTTGCCTTTATTAGACGTTGAACACATACTTAAGGAAGGTTACATAGTATCTGTTTATAGACAGCTTAAATTGAAACACTGCTGAATAAAAATTTAACGCGCAACTAAATTCCGTTTTCGAGATTTCTTACTGTTATTATATTATATTTATTCTGATTATTTTCTGTGTTACCATATTACAAGAACTTCGACATCACTCATACAGAGTCACTATCTCATATAATATTAAATATGTTTGTGGTTGCGATAATTATGTACTAAAAAATGTTACCTTTTACACGTGTGCTATGAGAACGTTTTAAATATATTTTGTATAAGACCATAAAGGTACGTAACTTGGAGATTATAAGATATAGGGTCATAGAATATTGAATGGTATGTTTGTGGAGTAAGGCTTGGTTTCGGTTGGCCGCGACGAGGGCGGTGGGGGCGCGGGGGGCGGGCGGGCGACGGCCAGCGACGCCTTTCACCGCTCTTCCAGCATCACTGTCTCTTGAGGGTATAACTTGAGTGCCTGCAGTGTACTGCTATGAGATTCTGTTGTTAACTGCAAACACATATTACACTTAAAACCAATACTACTGAACAAATATAATGTTACTAATACATATTATAAATAAATATGACATTCAAAGTTAAAATAAAATAGGGAATGAAAGAATGTGTGGAAATATGTAATTTTTTAAGTTCTAGCCTCAAGAATTATGTATGAAAAATTACGATGGAACTGTTTTCTTTGGCTTTTTTGGGTTAGGTTAGATTATGACAGTAAATCAAATAGTTTGAAACTTACGTCTCTTCTAGGCCAGCTAGATATAACTTTATAATTTTCTTGTGGGTATCCTTTTGATGCGAGAAAATCTAACAGCGCCTGTAAAAAGAATAGGACATACTTATATTGAGATTAATACATTAATGACTAAATAGAATAGAATAGAAAATAATTTATTAAAATAAACTTAATTTAAGCACATTTGAACAGTCATAAATTTTTTTTAATCTACCGTTCATTAGGAAAGCTGTCTCATGGCAAGAAGAACGAGCAAGAAACTTGTGTTTGGTTCTTTTAAATAAATTTTATATAAACTTGAAGGTATAGATACTACCTATTCATTTAGTTTAAACGTCCCGCGGGCCGTGTGTGGTGTGTGGTGTGTGGTGTGTCAGTGAGTGCGTGGTACCTGCAGCGTGTCGTGGGGCTGGAACCGCCGCTCGAGCAGGTCGTGGTGCGGGGGCGGCAGGCGCACCCTGATCCGCGCCACGTCCCGCGGGCCGTGTGTGGTGTGTGGTGTGTCAGTGAGTGCGTGGTACCTGCAGCGTGTCGTGGGGCTGGAACCGCCGCTCGAGCAGGTCGTGGTGCGGGGGCGGCAGGCGCACCCTGATCCGCGCCACGTCCCGCGGGCCGTGTGTGGTGTGTGGTGTGTGGTGTGTCAGTGAGTGCGTGGTACCTGCAGCGTGTCGTGGGGCTGGAACCGCCGCTCGAGCAGGTCGTGGTGCGGGGGCGGCAGGCGCACCCTGATCCGCGCCACGTCCCGCGGGCCGTGTGTGGTGTGTGGTGTGTCAGTGAGTGCGTGGTACCTGCAGCGTGTCGTGGGGCTGGAACCGCCGCTCGAGCAGGTCGTGGTGCGGGGGCGGCAGGCGCACCCTGATCCGCGCCACGTCCCGCGGGCCGTGTGTGGTGTGTGGTGTGTCAGTGAGTGCGTGGTACCTGCAGCGTGTCGTGGGGCTGGAACCGCCGCTCGAGCAGGTCGTGGTGCGGGGGCGGCAGGCGCACCGATCCGCGCCACGTCCCGCGGGCCGTGTGTGGTGTGTGGTGTGTCAGTGAGTGCGTGGTGGTACCTGCAGCGTGTCGTGCCGCTCGAGCAGGTCGTGGTGCGGGGGCGGCAGGCGCACCCTGATCCGCGCCACGTCCCGCGGGCCGTGTGTGGTGTGTGGTGTGTCAGTGAGTGCGTGGTACCTGCAGCGTGTCGTGGGGCTGGAACCGCCGCTCGAGCAGGTCGTGGTGCGGGGGCGGCAGGCGCACACCCTGATCGCACGTCCCGCGGGCCGTGTGTGGTGTGTGGTGTGTCAGTGAGTGCGTGGTACCTGCAGCGTGTCGTGGGGCTGGAACCGCCGCTCGAGCAGGTCGTGGTGCGGGGGCGGCAGGCGCACCCTGATCCGCGCGCCCCGCGGGCCGTGTGTGGTGTGTGGTGTGTCAGTGAGTGTGGTACCTGCAGCGTGTCGTGGGGCTGGAACCGCCGCTCGAGTGTGTGCGTGTGTGTGTGTGTGTGTGTCAGTGAGTGCGTGGTACCTGCAGCGTGTCGTGGGGCTGGAACCGCCGCTCGAGCAGGTCGTGGTGCGGGGGCGGCAGGCGCACCCTGATCCGCGCCACGTCCCGCGGGCCGTGTGTGGTGTGTGGTGTGTCAGTGAGTGCGTGGTACCTGCAGCGTGTCGTGGGGCTGGAACCGCCGCTCGAGCAGGTCGTGGTGCGGGGGCGGCAGGCGCACCCTGATCCGCGCCACGTCCCGCGGGCCGTGTGTGGTGTGTGGTGTGTCAGTGAGTGCGTGGTACCTGCAGCGTGTCGTGGGGCTGGAACCGCCGCTCGAGCAGGTCGTGGTGCGGGGGCGGCAGGCGCACCCTGATCCGCGCGCCACGTCCCGCGGGCCGTGTGTGGTGTGTGGTGTGTCAGTGAGTGCGTGGTACCTGCAGCGTGTCGTGGGGCTGGAACCGCCGCTCGAGCAGGTCGTGGTGCGGGGGCGGCAGGCGCACCCTGATCCGCGCCACGTCCCGCGGGCCGTGTGTGGTGTGTGGTGTGTCAGTGAGTGCGTGGTACCTGCAGCGTGTCGTGGGGCTGGAACCGCCGCTCGAGCAGGTCGTGGTGCGGGGGCGGCAGGCGCACCCTGATCCGCGCCACGTCCCGCGGGCCGTGTGTGGTGTGTGGTGTGTCAGTGAGTGCGTGGTACCTGCAGCGTGTCGTGGGGCTGGAACCGCCGCTCGAGCAGGTCGTGGTGCGGGGGCGGCAGGCGCACCCTGTGTGTGTGTGGTGTGTGGTGTGTCAGTGAGTGCGTGGTACCTGCAGCGTGTCGTGGGGCTGGAACCGCCGCTCGAGCAGGTCGTGGTGCGGGGGCGGCAGGCGCACCCTGATCCGCGCCACGTCCCGCGGGCCGTGTGTGGTGTGTGGTGTGTCAGTGAGTGCGTGGTACCTGCAGCGTGTCGTGGGGCTGGAACCGCCGCTCGAGCAGGTCGTGGTGCGGGGGCGGCAGGCGCACCCTGATCCGCGCCACGTCCCGCGGGCCGTGTGTGGTGTGTGGTGTGTCAGTGAGTGCGTGGTACCTGCAGCGTGTCGTGGGGCTGGAACCGCCGCTCGAGCAGGTCGTGGTGCGGGGGCGGCAGGCGCACCCTGATCCGCGCCACGTCCCGCGGGCCGTGTGTGGTGTGTGGTGTGTCAGTGAGTGCGTGGTACCTGCAGCGTGTCGTGGGGCTGGAACCGCCGCTCGAGCAGGTCGTGGTGCGGGGGCGGCAGGCGCACCCTGATCCGCGCCACGTCCCGCGGGCCGTGTGTGGTGTGTGGTGTGTCAGTGAGTGCGTGGTACCTGCAGCGTGTCGTGGGGCTGGAACCGCCGCTCGAGCAGGTCGTGGTGCGGGGGCGGCAGGCGCACCCTGATCCGCGCCACGTCCCGCGCCGCCGCCGCCGGCTCCGCGGGCACTCGGGCTGCAGCTTCGCTCCGCGCCGCCTGACCGACGTGATCACGATAACATTTCGTATCAATTGCACGCATCATATATAAATGAGATAGCTTAACAAACGTACACGATCAATGATCACATCAAACATATTTCGAATCAGTTGCACGCATCATACAAACTAGAACATTTACCATGAGCTCCTAGATTGTCCGAACTCTGGGAGCTCATTAACATCATATTTTATCATTATCAAAAATATTTCATTTAAGTGATGTGAGTAGTTTAAAACAATTGCACGCCATAATATTAATATTAAGTTGTTACACTTAACTGAGTAAGATAATATCCATAATAAACAGAATTAAATGTTTTACCTCTTTCCTCGCCTCTTCTAATTGTCGTTCTGATTCAGCTCTTTCTAATTCTTGATTTCTTTCTAGTTCCTGTTGTTTTTTTATTTCTTCTTTTGCTCTGAAATATTAAAAATTAACTGTCAATACAATAAGAACCTAAAATATTTATAATTGTAATGGAATTTGTTTTTTTTCATTAGAACACTTTTTAAGTAATCATAGCCTGTGATCAAAGTGATAATGGTATGTTACATTCATAATAATAATAACTCTGGATAATGCACACAGCGCCATCTAGTTCCAAATAACCAGAGCTTGTGTTACAGGTACTAGACAAGTGATATAAATACTAGAAATATTTTTATTTTAGAAACCACCTAGACCGATATAAACCACACATTCATGATTTCACAGTGCAAGAAATTCCTGCTTGTCCCTCTGCCGCGCGTCTCGCTCCTTCACGCGTGCACAGGTAATATTACACACATTACTGTGGTAGATACCTGTCGGCCTCTAGACTGCGCTGGTAGGCCTCGTCCTGCTCGCGCTTGACCCGCTGCCGCGCGTCTCGCTCCTTCACGCGTGCACAGGTAATATTACACACATTACTGTGGTAGATACCTGTCGGCCTCTAGACTGCGCTGGTAGGCCTCGTCCTGCTCGCGCTTGTCCCGCTGCCGCGCGTCTCGCTCCTTCACGCGTGCACAGGTAATATTACACACATTACTGTGGTAGATACCTGTCGGCCTCTAGACTGCGCTGGTAGGCCTCGTCCTGCTCGCGCTTGTCCCGCTGCCGCGCGTCTCGCTCCTTCACGCGTGCACAGGTAATATTACACACATTACTGTGGTAGATACCTGTCGGCCTCTAGACTGCGCTGGTAGGCCTCGTCCTGCTCGCGCTTGTCCCGCTGCCGCGCGTCTCGCTCCTTCACGCGTGCACAGGTAATATTACACACATTACTGTGGTAGATACCTGTCTGCCTCTAGACTGCGCTGGTAGGCCTCGTCCTGCTCGCGCTTGTCCCGCTGCCGCGCGTCTCGCTCCTTCACGCGTGCACAGGTAATATTACACACATTACTGTGGTAGATACCTGTCGGCCTCTAGACTGCGCTGGTAGGCCTCGTCCTGCTCGCGCTTGTCCCGCTGCCGCGCGTCTCGCTCCTTCACGCGTGCACAGGTAATATTACACACATTACTGTGGTAGATACCTGTCGGCCTCTAGACTGCGCTGGTAGGCCTCGTCCTGCTCGCGCTTGTCCCGCTGCCGCGCGTCTCGCTCCTTCACGCGTGCACAGGTAATATTACACACATTACTGTGGTAGATACCTGTCGGCCTCTAGACTGCGCTGGTAGGCCTCGTCCTGCTCGCGCTTGTCCCGCTGCCGCGCGTCTCGCTCCTTCACGCGTGCACAGGTAATATTACACACATTACTGTGGTAGATACCTGTCGGCCTCTAGACTGCGCTGGTAGGCCTCGTCCTGCTCGCGCTTGTCCCGCTGCCGCGCGTCTCGCTCCTTCACGCGTGCACAGGTAATATTACACACATTACTGTGGTAGATACCTGTCGGCCTCTAGACTGCGCTGGTAGGCCTCGTCCTGCTCGCGCTTGTCCCTCTGCCGCGCGTCTCGCTCCTTCACGCGTGCACAGGTAATATTACACACATTACTGTGGTAGATACCTGTCGGCCTCTAGACTGCGCTGGTAGGCCTCGTCCTGCTCGCGCTTGACCCGCTGCCGCGCGTCTCGCTCGCGCTCCGCCTTCGCGTCCATGTCTCGTAACGAAGCGAACCGCTCCAGACCCTCCATCAGCCCGCCCAGCAACTCCGACACGCCCACGTTTCCTGACACATTCGTACTCATTATTGACCATACTATTTATTTTGTATGAATAAGTATTAAGTAGTTACTTATATAATCCGTAAATTTAATATCAAAGCATATTAATAATAACTCTGTAAAAATCAGCACCAATCCAATAAAGTAAACAGAATATGTTATTAAAGGTACATAAGTAACTTGTAAGTTTTACGACTCCACGAGACGCAGCATATCTATATTACGTGCCATTGACCGTTGAACTCCATATGGTTTCTCCCTGGAATCCATCGTGATGAATACGTGGTGAATTTGGCACGATGGACTAACTGACCTGATCTCATGTCATCGTACCAAATTGTATCATTCTCCATTAGTGCCCTCCCAGCGTAAACCGTCAGTGCAGGCGGGTGCACTATATACCATTATTACATATTTAAAAAAATGTAACCACTCGTTGCCATTCTAGAGGACTAAGACACTCCGATTATTCTTTAATTTCAATCCCTAATCACACCATACAATCAAAGTAGATATATGCAATATAATATTCATATACTTTATATATGCAAAATAATATGTGAATAACTTACCATTAATAACTGAATATATTTCAGTGTTAGACCGAACTCTCATAATAATGACTAGGGCCGGCAACCGGTCCATCGGGATGCTCCGTATCGTCATACTCGCAACCGGTCCTAATGCATTCGTCATTGAATTTAATAACCTGCAACAAGGGGTAAGGATATCATACGATATAGTATACTAAATAAAAGATAGTAATGGGATCCCAAGTAAGTAAATACAATTAGTTACAAAACATGCTAAAGTGACGTCAATGGTGCTGTTCATATACATAGGCAATGGTTACCACTTACCATCAGGTTGGTAGTTAGAATCCTTGCCAGTTTCTTTACGTAACAAAAAATACTCAATTACATAATAATAATATCTCAGGACAATTTACACAGCGCTATCGAGTTCCAAGCTAAGCAGAGCTTGTGTTATGAGTACTAGAGAACTTATATAAATACTTAAGATACTTTTTTTTGTACATACAGACCACTACTATATCTAGAAACAACTAATGAATAGAAACATTTGCACTATACGAGGAACACGCAACCGTTAAATTAAAATATATTTTTTAAGTTACTAATAAAAAAATCATGTATGTATATACAGTGATATGTACCTTCTATGATCATACATACATGTTATTATTGTCTGGGTGTGTGAGGTCCCAGCCGTAGACAACAAAATTTGTGGCGAGCGTTTGTAGCACAGCTTCGCAGCCTAACAGCTGCGCGCAGAACACATTCGATAGCACCGACTGCTCATGATGCAGGTACAACCCTAGCAGCTTCCTCTGAAGTGTTACAAATCTTATTTTAATGTTATAAACGCGAAAGTTTGTGAGTATGGATGGATGTTTGTTACTCTATCACGCAAAAACTATTGAACGGATTTTGATGAAACTTTACTGTAATATAGCTTATACATCAGAATAACATATAGGCTATAAAGTTTACGCGGGTGAAACCGCGGGCACTGCTAGTACATTATAAAATAAGATAATAAAATTAAGAGTTATATCTGTAAATACCCGTTATACTCGTGAACGGGTACTGCTTGTAGGGACTGGTCTGCTTTGATAACTATGACGGATTTATTGTTATTCAAGTATATTAACTTTGCCATTTGGCAGTTTGTGTTCACACAAAATTCTTCAAAATGTAATTCTAGTCAAAAGTGCAACACATAATATTTTTGCTCAGTCTTCTTGTGACGAGTCTGCGTTCCGAATGAGCGGTAGAATAACAAAAAACATGACTATTTAAAAGTGCTTATATTAAGTTTACTTACATAAAAATTATCTATTTATTTAATTAAAAGCAATTAGTACACGTTGTACTAATGTTACCAATACAAAAAACTAGCTTCCATAATATCTAGAGTTTTGTTTAAATCCAATAGGTCTACAAACAGATAGTTATAAATAATTGTTATTTTGAAATCACGATGATGAAGGCGCAGTTTCATCTATTACACAATAAAAATCTGAGAACAAGTACACTTTCTAGATGCTTCCCGAGCTAGTCCTAAATATGGCTGATTATTCATACCTCTTTGGCAGGCTTAAGGCAAGCCTCTTTGATTGCATCTTGTAGTGTGCCCTCGAAGAAATTTGGTGTGTTCGGTCCATATCGCGTGCGGAAACGTTGCGCAAACTCTATGCAGCCCAGCACTTCGTCCTCCACGTGATCAGACACTGTGAAAACATTATGAATAATAGTTTGTTAATAATACTTACTTACATCCTTCCTTCCTTCCTTCAAATAAGTAAAGGTGTATCCTTCATTACAGCGTATTTCGGGACCTGAGGGGCCCAACAGAATGTAACAGGATGTACTATTAGCGTTGCTACAAATGACTGAAGAAAAAAAAAGAAACGCAATTTTGTTTGTAATTTTGTGATATCAAAGGGGCCATGTCAACCTTTAATGCCGCAATTAAAACTACGCAACGGATTTTGAAGCGGTTTTTTTAATAGGTAGAGTGATTCAAGAGGAAGGTTTATATATATAATACATGTATATCTATGCGAAAGCGGTGCGAGTAGCTAGTAAAGTTATAAAGTGAACAGCTAGCTCAGTGTAGGTCTTCCGCGGTACTTAAAACATTATATGACTTGGCGACACATCCTTACCGCGTCACCACCCAATTTTAATGAAGCGTATACTATAATAATACTTACTGAGCGGCTGTAACCTCTCCGGGTGTACCAGATCTACAAATATATCATCTTCGCCAGTGAACGTATCGGCTGAATCTTCTATTTCTTCTATTGAACTGTTTTCACTATCTGAACTTTCTAGTATTATCTGTGAAATTTATTTTAATTTTACATCTATTCAAACATCATTGGTTCTTCAATAAGTGCGAACGATATTTTTCTGGAGGGATTGAAAATAAATTTAAACATTTAATCACTTAAGTATATATCTTTGAGACGGTTTAGTTAGTTATAAATAAATGATTTACTATAATACTTGCCCTTTCGTATTCTTTCTGTTTACTATTGCTAGGCGCTCGTTTGACTGTAAGCTGATGTTGTGGTTGGTCCAAACCCACCATCGCGAGGATTGTGCCGTCTAGACCCGAGACTGCAGGCCACCCCGTCCACATCTAATTCAATTTTCAGATAATTTACATGTATAATTTATAAATCAGTATGACAATGTGAAGATGGTATGCGAAAAACTATCAAAGTGATGATTGTAAGGTCTTTCTCTCTATTACCTCAAAAGTAAATATTATAATTATGTTAAGTGATGGTAAGCAGTAACTATCACCAATGTACATAAACAATATCACATATATTGCGTCATTAAGTGAGACCCGTAGTACCTCAATACGTGGTCTATGTAAGTTGTATTTCGATTAAAGGGCGAGATAAGGCAGTGAAAATACAGGATACGGACGCATGAAATCATAGTCCTCCAGAATGATAATGCAACAGCGGTTCCGACGTCACACATTGATAGATAGTTGTTAGTAATGCGGCTACCATTCAGTCATACCAATCAGGTAGTTTTCGATGCGGCCCCCTGAATCCATTGTGGTTAATTCCAAAATTAGCCATGATGGGCTAACTGGCCTGACTTTATTATGCTCATCCTATTATAATATAGACAACTATTTAATTATGAGCCTTTAAAAAACCATGCCCGACTGTATATCAGCGGCCTTAAGAATTCGTGTCTTCATAAACATATCATATATCATTGCGTCATACCATATCGTTATACAAAGGCACAGAAACACCGTCATTAGTGCTTTAGCTTACACTGAATAACAGCGCCGCAACAGTTTATTTAGTCATCCGAAAATAAATAAATAGTTAAGGATAACATACATAAAAACTTTAAAAAAGTGATTTTTGTACATCAGCAAGCACTGAATTTTGTTACAGTGCAATGTCAACTGAAATCTTTACGGTCATCGTTGTAATAATCATTATACGTAAAAGTAACTTATCCAATAAAAATGTTCAATCTAATGCAAAATTGTACTTTTTATTTTCTTGTGCTAGTTACCTGATGTCGTGCGGGTATGTCTGTGAGCGAGTAGATATCGTTCTTGACTTCCTGCACTGTCTTGGTGCCTGGATACGTGAGTGTGTAGTCTTTGTCGTCGTGTTTAATGCACAGTATGTACGATCTTGTTAGCCGGTCCGCCGCCCTGATTAAATATAGTACAATTGTAACGTTTTTTTTTTTAAATTATGTTGGCTTGGAAAAATAATGTTGGCCTTCAATATCATGATATAATATACTAATAAAATAAACTAGTTGCATTTTGAGTGATATGTAAATGTTTGATAAAATGTTAGGGTAAAAAATACACATACAATGGTCCAGATGAGAGGCTAAATTCAGAGAATAGAATCCATATTACATAGAATAAAAAAAAACCATCGAGCTCTAACAGTCGCGCGCGGGAGTCAATTAATAATAATATTAGAGTATATTTCACAAAGCGCCATCTACTTCTAAACGAAGCAGAGCTTGTACAATGGGTCCACACAACTAATATCAAATACCGTAATTGCATAAAAACAACAAGCAACACTTACTTATTAAGTGTTATTTGATGTTTTTTTTATGTAATATTATATTTACTTATTAATGCTATCGTAAAATATATCGAGCTCAGGCCGCTTCAAAACCAATAATGTGATAATATTACATACTCATCGTCCGCCATGAGTTGGTCGGCAGCTTTAAGCCTGAGCACTGCATTTGCAGCCAGTCCCAGACTGCCAAGGGTAGCGGAAGACGTGGCTCGAGAGCCGCCCATGCCGGAGATCTGTTGTCGACAGACTGGCACACCGCATACTGATTCTAGCCGTTTCTTTAAATCACCTGTGTAAAACAAGAGTATGACAGGGATCACCTAGCAAGTATACACTGTAGATTGAGTAGGTATGTATACTCATAAATCTAGAAGGAAACTGTTAGATTTATCTAAAAACATTTGCAAAAAAAAATACACACTGTCCTAGCGGAACCGTCGTCTGAGGGCGCGAGGTTGTTGTATGATTTGATTTATGGGCACTATTTTTATTGTCTAGTTTTGATTACTTAATATGTATTTATTGTTTATATTAGAGATAAAGTAGTAGAGTATTAGTGACCACTTACTGACTGTTGCCGCGCCGGACATTTTTATTTCGTGTATTTTATTATTAAAGTGAACTTGTAGCTCTACCATATCAGACGAATTATTTCTAGGAGACGAAGTGGAAGCCTGATTGCTATCTTCCCGATCTGGAATAAATCAATATTTTATTAATATCTCCAGGTTAACAATAACTATTTTTGCTTTAATATAAGTACTTTTAGAGTACACGATATATTTATTAGTGATTATTAGCTTTACACCATAAGTGAACAGCTTATTAACAATAGAGCGTGTGTAGATTGTTAGTAATAAGGAGTATAAACTTTATTTTTTTATACCAGTGTTGGCCTTCACGCATACTGTTCATCTGATGGTAAACGATTACCACCTATGCCTAAGACAAGCACACCGTTTTTCATCAGGGAGATAACTTCGGCCGGTGGATAGATTTTGGAAGAATCAAACGAAATGGTTAATTTGAAAATAGAGACAGCATACGATATGATTCCATAGACTTTGGGGAAGATTTTCATACATTAAAAAAGGAATGCCTGAAACAGCAAGTGTCTCGTGCGCTATGTCCATCAATGCTAGATATGAGATCTATAAGACGAAACTTCACGCGGTTCTACTTTTAATTCTTTACAATATTTAATACGAATTCACTAGAAATTAAGAAACCACAGTGGTACTTTCTAAATTTCTAGTAAATTCGTCAAGTGACCTTAATTCTGTGGTATGGATGGCAGTGACCATCTATTTACTAAGAAAGAAGAACATCGATTAATAACCAGGGGCATGGCCTTTTTCAATACATTCTGTGTACTATATACCAATTAATAAAATATATATTTTATACTCCATTAATTGCTTCAGTAATTAAGTTTTTTTAAAGGATTTCCAATTTTTCAAACGTTTACCAAAAATATATACATTCAAATAGGTGTAATTTTACATTTAAAATCGTGTCACAGTCTTAGTTACCATAATCCTCTGAAACGACTTTTATGATATTTTTTGACCGATTTTTATGATATTTTATATGCATATTCAATAGGCCTAAGAATCTATTTTTAATTTTTAGCCCCTAATGACCTTATCATTAGGGTTCTCCACTCCTAACACTTTTTTTATAATGTGGCATTAAAAATAAATACAACCCTAAATTTCCTTCTATCATCAACCCTTATTTTTCAATAGCGATTTTAATTTATATGGCAATAAATTTCTGTGGTCAGCTAGTAAATTATAAGTTTAAAAACTACAGTCCTTATAGTCTGTAAATTGAAACTGTAATGAACGAAACATATCTTTTTAAAGTCTTTTGCAGATGAGATAATAAATTATCACAATGTAAACTAAGTCTATTTCACTTGATAAACTTGAATGTACAGTACAAACACATCTGTGTCATACATTACACAAACCCATGTGCATTAATGTATGTATTATATGGTATATATTGCATATATTATATGGTACAGACATAAGAACTTATATCCTCATGTTGATGAAGCAATGATTTATTAACATTATTTTTATTATATTTTGTAAGCTCAAGTATATCATATATACTGTGTCACTTTATCATAAAATAAATTGATTAATTATTTTGTGCAACCAACATTATTTATTACCGACATATTTCTTTTTTATTAAGTTGAGAATAAAGGTACTCTTTTTTTGCCTTTAATGCCTTATTGACTAACAAAATATGTTACAAAAAGTGGACTTAATGCTACCGTATTACCTTCTAGTCAACCTTTGAGAAGTGCAGAGATATTTGCTAGATTATGACATAGCAATAAATAATTATAAATTAATTATTATCACAAATTACACATAAATATCTACATACAATCAAATTTGTCATTAATATATCCTTAATATGTGCCTACCTATATTAGTACACTTTATTAATCAACAAGCATATAAAAGTATGACACCCTTCTTTATATTTGACAATGACTAATAAACTTTACAACAAAGTTATGTGCAAATGCAAGGTTCGCTACTGGTGGTTTAGTTAGAACAGTGGTTCCCAAATAGTTTTTGCTGCATACCACTTCTAAAATGACCTCAAACCTTGCGTACCCCTTATTGTAGCAATGACTATAATATTATAAATATGAAAGTTTGTGAGTGTGTGTGTATGTTTGTTTTACTGATAGCCGCACACACTTTATGCAACGTCACATACCCCGAGGGGTATGCATATCACTTATTAGGAAACACCGAGTTAGAAGAATCTAACTTAATGATCTTTAACAATTTTCATTTCTGGTCAAATTCAAACAAAGATTGTTAAAGATCAACCCATTATTAGTATTTAAAATATGATTACCTGGTGGGTGTGTTTTTGGAGTTATCACAGATATATCATCATCTATCATTTCAACATCATGAGTGTCATCAGTCTGCTGGGTTGCTGCTGAGCTGTTTCCATCTTGTGGCATCACTCGGTTTATGGCGGACTGGATTTAAAAAGTTCTTATATTAGTGTGGTTCTTTTATGCATGCAAATTATAGGGTATAGAGACATAACATCTTAGTCCTTTGAAATTTGAATTTGAAAAAGAGCATTTTATTTAAGTAAACACTATTTAAACAAATATCCATGTTCAATATATATTAAACATATTTTAATATACATCTCTCAAGTGTCTTTTTTATTGCATTGTTACATTCAAAATACAGATTCAGCCAAGATAATGGCTAAAAAGATAACAATAATGGTTACCAAAGATACACATACATATTAAGGTATAAGACATACATTTAGAATTAACCATCAAAATAAATTACTAGTCTACTACTACTGGTGATAATATACAATATTATAATTATATTAAGATGATTATTACAACTACACATATGTATATAGTTTTATATAAAACATTTTTATTTTTATTTTACAAATGTAAGAATTTATGTCTTTTTGTGATATTAATAATAAATAATAAAATAATAATAATAAAACTCAAATTATCAATATAAGTTATATTTCATTAATGTTTTATTGTATAGTTATATTCAATGTTTTATCATAAAAAAAATTAATAGGGTTAAGATGTTTATATATAACATAATTCTTGAATATATAACATACAACTTAATTTGATTAACTTCTGCTGAATTCATATAAATTTATATAATTGAGAAAATGTGATATTAACACATGTAGGAATTTTAATATGACATTTTAGATGAATTATTTGCCAGTGTCAATGAGTTGAATTGTAATTGAGAGAATAAATCATATCAAAAGGTTTAAATAACTTTTCAGCTCATATTACTGTTACAAATAACATAGAAAAAATATATTTGTAACATAAGTTCAAGGTTACAATAAAATTAGTCAATAAAAGAAATAATAAATGAAACATTGATACATCACAGTAAATATTTTTTCCCAAGAAGAAATGCTAACTCATTACTTAAACAAAACTAGATTTGTCCTTCATATTGAATAGTATTGATGTTTCTGTAGTTTTTACACACACAAAAGGTTTATTGTTTAGTAGACATTATTATCTAGAAATTCATTAAATAATACAAATATCACATACCAATAAGTCCCAATTTGCTTCCTCTAAGTGGTATATTGCCTCTGCTAAATCTTCAATGGCTGTTATACCCTAAAACATAACATACACAATAGCAATGCTTTAGAATACAAATAAGTTGATTTTAACTTGTCATTTAGCTATTACGCATAAAACCTCATTATAAAGCATAGTTAAATATGTTACTATTGTTCTAGAATAAATTATATGAACGTAAATACGACTCAAGTTTATATTGACTGTGCACAAAGAACGTTCAGAGAACATTTTGACAATCATTGTTTCATCATAATTGGCATCACTTTTGTATATTATACGAATTTAATAGAAAGTACAGTTAAATCTATAATAAAAAAATATAAAAAAAATACTTCATGTGTAAAGTACAAAGAGTTTTATGAGATTTCCTAGTCACTGTTATTGTTAAATACATAACCTTCAAGAAATAGAAACTAGATTTATAGGGTTATAATGAATATTAAATTTTGTCAATATATGTGTAGATACCTGAAAATTTGCTAGAATTTCTTCTCTGTTTTCTGCCATTCTGATATTAATGAACTCAAAAATATTAGTACGACATTTAGTATTGCAGACAAATCACTCAAACATTAACCATAAACATATCTGTGTTGCCAGCCGACATAATACTAAAACTTCTTTGTCTTTTACAATTTTGTTACCGATTATTCGATTAAATATATCGAATGAAATCACCGATCAAAATCTAACGATTGCTATAAGATTATTCTATAATTTTTAGTGTCCGATATTTTATTCGTATTATTTACAATATGATAATATGTGTTAATTCTGGACATTTAAATATATGATTAGTCGTGATCTAAATATTTTGTCTATGCTTCGATATAAATTAATATGAAAATATGTACATAATAATATATACACATTACACACCTTTTGATGATTTTTAGTCAATTACGTTAATGCGATTGAAATTTACTGAATCATTATAAATGAACTTTAGTAAATAAATAAATAATTAATAGTAATACTTAGTGGGACTAGTATTAGATTACTATAATGTCTTTAATGCCGATACTGTCTTGTAGGACATTATTTATATATGTATGGAGGTTAATATACTATTAACGCAAAACAAAAATTAGGATTTAACTAATGTTAGATCCTAATGTTTATTCTGCGTTATACATTTTCAAAATAATGAATATAATCAGCCTAATTTGAGAAACGTAAATATTAATTATGTTTTTCAGACTAAAACAATCGCCTTACATGTAAATATTTTAGACGACGAATCGAATTTTATTCTATATCTGAGATAAACCGAAGTTCTACATAATATAATTCTGAGTGGAATCAAACGGTGTAACATAGGCTTAAAGTGAGTTGGAGCAAAGCCAAATTTGATGTTTGGGAGAGCAACCTCCCTTGGGGGATAAAATCAAAAATATATTACCTATATATATCGATGGACTCAGTAGTAGAGCGATATAACGTCTTACATCCGATGGTCGCGGGTTTGGTCCTCGCACTATAGAAATATTTGTATTTGTGAGTAAGATTCTGAAGAGTCTGGGTGTTCTTTATTTATATTGTGTGTTTTTAGAAGAAAAAATAGGAATTTATGTCAGTTATTTAATACCTATAGCAGGTATAAACATAAGAATTTTAGAACGGCTAAGGTGGAGCAAAAAACGTCGAGAAATACTGCGAACTTGAATAATCCTGGATTATTATCTTTTTATAATATTATATTTTCTTTTTTTTAATATTATATTTTATTTTTTTAATATTAGCTTCTATCTTTTATACTTACTTGATCAATGCTTCTGAAGCCTATGACAGTAAAAATCTTGTCTAGGATCTTTTCATACACTGGGACACTGAGCAAGTAATCACCGTGTTGTTTGAGGTAATATACGAATGTACATACTAAATATTAATTCATTGTTTAAGCCAACGTATAAATGGCAACGTGTAAAATATAAATTATCTCAATTTTTCATAATATTAGGATGAAGAAATTTGTAATATAATATTTTAGGATATAATATATTCTTGTAAACAGATGTTATTATTATAATTTTTTGAGAAAACAATGTCTGTAAGCACTTATTGTAAAAGTTTGCCGCCCACAAAATATCTGACTGCGGCGATGCGCCGCGCCGCGCCGGGCTGCTCCATAATGGTACGCCTCTGAAATCGAACCTGCAAAAAGTAGGTCAGGAGGATTATCTGCTAATTATTATTATATATATTATATAATTAGGAAAATTAATACTCAATTTTTCAACAATGCTTATTGTTTTAAATATTAGATATATACATGGATTTTATGGTCATTATTTTATAACAATGTTGTTAAGATTATAGCCCCAAGTCAGGGCCAAAACACGTCAAACATTTTCTCTCTGCTGAAAACTTGTATGCTTAGGAAAATTATATTATGAGTGTAATGTAAAATCTGGCGATAGAACACCACCATATAGTCAGCTGACAATTTTTATTCTTAAAGGTATAATTTTCATGAAAGTTAATTTACTATAATTTGGTAACAATTTCAACCGAGTAGATTTTTTTTAAACATGTTGGGCAGATTATTGCTTTTCAATCCAGCTACGGAACGACAACTATCGTTCAATAGTCTTCATTTTACAAGATTTCGCCTGAGAAGAAATTAATCATGAACATCTGTTGCTGACTCGCGAATCATTAGGGAATTTTCATTATTATTTATTTTGGAACGTACGAGTACGTATACACATTTTTACGGTAATTTTTAAGTTCACAGTATGATATTGTCAGTTTTGTTAATTACCTGACGAAATTATATAGCAAATGAAAATAGGTGAAACCTTTATATTATACATACTCACCTAAGGCCAAGGAAAGAATATATAATATTTAATGATGAATGAATCAATAATGAGAATTAGAAAATTCCGAGAATTACTTGTAGACACTAAAATGTACATTTACTGAAGTAACATTCAGTAGATTTTATAAGTAAGCGTGTCATAATAATGACTGGCAAGCTGCGTACAACTTGAGTTTTCAGTTTTAGAATCAGTCGAGAAGCGCGTAAGCAGTTCGCGCACGCGCTCTCGAGCTCTATCGTGTATTTATGAGCTTTTGCGGTTTGCGCGCGAAAATAGTTCTTCCGACATCTTTAAATTCGCGGTAAATATTTTTAATTATTATAATAATTAAATTTATAAATTGTATTTATGTAGATATATTTCTCATTTGGTAGTGTGCTATATGTAAGTACTAGCATTGTTAATACGTGGGTACCTAATTTAAATTAGATTTTAAATTAAATTTTGTATTGTATAATCTCATGCCATATTAACAATGTTGTTTTTATTTACTCTAATATAAATATTTAGTCTATTACAATGCTAAATCTACTAGAATAGTTATTTGGTTCTAAATTAGATAACAAATATTTATAAAATTAATCGCTGGAAGCAAATATATAAATTGCGATGGAAAATAAATTAATATTTATTTATAATATAAAGTAGTTCATAAATAATTTTGAAAAATAGTACCTACTTTAAATTTATAACAATAACGATTAATTCAATTATAGTATCTAAAAAAAGTTAGCGACTTTTTGTAATATTGACATATATCAGTTATAGTAATATTTCCTTATAGCAAGGACCATATTAATTATATACATATTATAATTACAAAAATTCAAGCAAATTAATTACGTTAATTAAAAATTCAAAACCTGAGTAGATATAGTAGTTGTAATTCATAACAATGCGATTCTATATGGTTATTCTTTTTTAAATTTATACACTGTTATATGTATACTGAAGATACTAATAAAATTATTAAGTTAATTATTAAGTATTTTGAATTTTTTATTAACGTTGCTTGAATTTTTGTATTTTATAATAGGTATATAATTGGTATGCTCTTTGCTATAAGGAAAATATTGATTACTAAGGATCTAGCAATAATATGTAACTTACATTATCTGAGTTATTACAATTATAGGTTATAAGTTATTACAATTAAATTACATTATAGGTACTAATATTTTTACGAAGTACATAACATTGTTCATATATAAATAGCAGTAGCTCCGGGAAATGTAGTACTGATTTTATTTGAACCATATAATAGATAACAAAAATCGGGTTACGAGCAAAAATTACGATAACAATGGTTTCGGTGGCAACGGTCACTCTAGTCTAGTGGCCTATTTATTTAGGTATTTAGTAATGAATTTCTTATTGTTAATAATTGTTTTAAGTATTACATACTTACTTACAGTCTAACGCTGTGTTTCCCAACCTTTTTAGAGCCATGTTCCACCTTAGCCAGGAAATTCACTAGGAAATTGTCAATTAAACAGGTTTTTTTTTCGGATTGTCCCCCTTAACAATCAAATTGCCCCCCTGTGGGGCTGGGCCCCACGTTGGGAAACATTGGTCTAACAACTTATGATATTAAACATTATGTAGTTATATAATCGCAGTTTATATGAAGGTTATAATTTTTAACAAATAGTGTTCATTTTCAAAAACACTATGACTAATCTTATATTATATGAAAATTTCAGCAGGTAACATGGCTTTACCGGCCATGTGTACGCGCGGCCTGCTGTTGCTGTCTTTTGTACTTACCTCATATGCACTCACTTTGGACGAAGGTAAGCATTAAATATACCACAGTATATATATATTACGTAATAAGTATCGCAAATCATCAATGGGATATGCAATTCATTGATTAATGACGGATTGTTCATTTTTGGTTCTTTAAACCAATACTCTAGAGATCAAAAATTATATTACTTTCCAATAAAAAACATGCAATAGGTACAGCACCTACGATATGACTAAGCGAAGCTAACGGTCCTCGCAGTGGTTATGGTCCCTGACTGATGTGGTGCTGACTATGAATAAGTCATAGTCAGCACCAAAGATTTCATATTGTCATATGATACCATTGTCACCTCTTGATGTGTTGCAGTTTTGAAGCAATAAGAGAACTGCCATAGTATCAATATGTTCGATTAAACGATGAGCATTCAATTAAAACAGATATTATATATAAATCTACCTGTGTACCTGTGTGAGACACGAAAACAAACCGGTAACAGATACAAAATAACTTTTGGAATAACTTTTTAAGCTCATTGTAGCATTAAGCTTAACTTTTTACTATGTAATAGTTTTATTAACTTGCACAAAACATGATTTTATTAAATCTGTATTTATAGAGGATATTGTATGTACTAGACCGGTGATTCCCTATAAGTGGTACGCGTACCCCCAGGGGTATGTGAAGTTGCATCAAGGGGTATATACGGCTATCAGTAAAACAAACGTATACACACTCACAAACTTTCACATTTATAATATTAGTGGGATTGCTAGAATAAGGGGTACGCAAGATTACAGGACTTTTTTGAAGTGGTACGTAGCAAAAATTATTTGGGAATCACTGTACTAGATCGAAGTGGTGGGTATATTTTTTTATAATTTGTAATATCTCAGGACAATTTGTACAACGCCATCTAGTCCCAAGCTAAGCAGAGCTTGTATTATAGGTACTATACAACTGAAATAAATACGTGGATTTTTATTTTATTGTAAATAAATAAACATCTTATACTTAGATAACACCCAGACCGATACAAACAATTATACTTATATGTACGAATGTTTGTACCGTGCGAGGAATCGAACCCGCGACCATCGGATAATAAAGCGGTATACCTCTAGACACTAAGTCTGTCATATGAAACAACTGCATAATATTCAGACATTAATTTACGTTCGTGGAGTGTATACTCTTACATATGTTTGTGAATGTAATCCTTCACAGTTGCTGTAATCCTTGTTTTGATGAAATATGAAATTGTAAGACTTAGTAGGTACTCTACTTATATGTATAAATATGTAATGACCTATATAACTACGATACAATATATAACGAATTAAAAGAGAGTTTCAAATATTAAAATTTATACGTCATTAAATATATTTTATTTAAATTTTGTACTAATATATTTAATCTAAAATAAGCAGATGATATTGCGGATTAGTATTTTATGAAGGAATACTAAATTGGCTCCAAACAAAAAAGATCCAAGTAATCTACCACATGATGAAAATAAATGTATTTAATCTTATATATTGCAGTGTGAAGTGAGTATACGACATGACAAACTAATTAATGAATTGAAATTCACACAGAACCTACAGATTACAGTATCTGTGCCACAAGACAAATGAATATTTTAATGGATGAATCTAAATGAACGTTAGCGAAGTATATTTGTTTGTAATGGATTTAGTAAAAATATATATACTAACATAGAGAGATATAGAGAGCTGTCTTTTATTATAATAGATCACAATTACTGAAGTGATGCAAAAAATAACAATATTGAAAAGAACACTTACATTTTGAATATTTATAAACGAATAAAAATAAATCTATCTAGTGCCAAGCTTTATGATAATGGAATGGTCCTCCCGCCTGCGCTAACAGTGCGCTGGCGGGACACCACTGGAATATGATAAGGAGAACATGTGGTCAGGTCAGATGGCTCATTGTGGAAAAATTGCAGCTAGTTTAATATAAAAGAAAAACGTAAAGAAATCCAAGTTTCAATGAAAATTGTCCAGCTGTGTATTAACGCAGTAGTAGGTGGGTATACTAAATGCGGTCCCTCATTCGCTACTATTTCCGTACTCATTAGTTAGACGCGAGAAATAGAATACCTCCAGGAAAATACAGGCGGATGATTAATTGTAGCAAGGGAACTGCGGCCGGCGACTGAACCACTGAACTTGCTAAATAAGTCATTCCAAGTTGTTCGGGCAATTTGGTAATATAAACTATGCTGCATATTCAAACGAATAACTAATTTAGCGGATAAATATACGTATGTAAATATTTACCTATATTTAACCGCAAAATTAGTGAGCAATATTTACATTATTTACACTCATTCAGTGTAAATAGTTGGTATTTAGTGGTATTACTATTTAAAGTCGTTACAAAATTGTATATATCCCTGGTATAATTTACAGACTGATTTCCATATGCAACCTTTGGTGTGGATATAAACTAAATAACTAACTTTAGAAAAATAAGTATTTGTTCGAAATCTCTGCATATTATGTAAATATTTAATTTGTATAAGAAATAAAAAAATCATATCAGCAATAAAAAAACACTAATAGTGTTAGAACTGTTTTATTAACAATTATTTCTAACAATTTTCTTAATTTAAAAAAAAGTTCACGTAATACTATATTAATTAAGTGGTAATGGGAGGTTTTAGTTTTTATGAATAAAAGTATTGATGAATAAAAGACACAATTAGTGTTAACTTTTGTATGCTATAGACAACAAACTTATATAATATATTGAATATCGTGTAACAAATTAATACATTACTTGCGCTATAGGTAGTAGAGATACCCGACTCTATTATTGGAATTCTAAGACACAAATTCATACAATACAACTACTTGCTTAGAAATTCTATAATATTAATATCTAATGCCAATCCCTCATTATAATTTACTAAATGTGTAGGTAGACAGTGACTGAAATAAACAGGACACCCAATTATTTATTACTTCGACAATGTTGAATATTGTACTTATCGAATGTTGAAAGGAAAGGTGACACGGCAACTTATATATACGCTACTACTCATACATATATAGGTTACTATTTTTTTAATGACGATTATGAAATGGTGCGCTAACAGTTTATGTTAGAAGGACACCATTGGAGGATGATAAAATGAGTGTGAAGTCAGGTCAGTCAGCCCATCTTGGCAAATGGCAATTTACAATGATGGTCAACCTGACATGGTACATTGCAAGAAATGGGGTTAATATTCCATAGTCCTGGCAATCCCTTACTAACTTATAGTGAATGTGGACTAAACATTAAAAACTATATTTGTTACCGACCGATCGAAATGCGGTTTCAATGTTAGTGTTAAATATTAAGTAGGCTTTTTTTTAATATCTGTTATATTAAACTGTTTATCATACTTAGGTAGGTATCATTGTGTCATACTTAGACTAAACCGCAAGTTAGTCGTAGTCTCATACATTACGACATTTTCTAATCTCAATTTAACTTCATTATTCTTGATAATTTTCATGACTGTCTTATGTTTAATAAATAAATTAGTTCACACATAATTTCTCTCTATACTGAATTATATACGAAAGTGTCTGTCTGTCTTTTTGCTATATTTTCTCGAAATAACGGCTAAATGTAACTGAATCAAATTTGTCATGAAGATTGATTGCATCACGTGGACAGAAATGGGGAAGAGATACCCCATTTCTTAAAAAAGGCATAATAGCAAGTATATATAATATATATATATCTATCTACTAGTTGCCTGTCCCGGCGTCACCGTATTTAACAAAATTTCAAAAATTATAGATTTTAACACATGTAGGTACATATATACCATCGCTATTGATGTCATCTATAAAACTGTAGTACATCGTTTTGCTTTATCATCAATAATTTCCGCAGTTTACGCGATTTAAAGAATATGTTTGGTAATTATTTCGTACAATGGGATACATTATCGACGTTTTTATACTGATTGCTAACGTTTCTGAAATTATTTTAATGCCTATATTCATTAGGTATAATATAAGAATTCAATGGTAATAAACAATCAATATTTCCTCTTTATAATATTATATAGTATAGATAGACATATGCATACATCTGTGTGGTATCTATGTATTACCTTTGTTTACGTAATTAAAGTCCTAAAGGATTGATTTATTAATAATACTGTGTGTGTTTAACTTTATGAATGAATATGAATATTTATTTATAGTTCACTACAATGAGGAGGTTAAAAATATTTTTCGAAGGAATAACAAGTACCAGGCAGACAAAACCGTGGGCATCAGGTAGTAAAATGCATAACTCCAGCTACAAATTTGTAAGAGACTGGATCCTACACTAGATTGGAGAGAATTTAACTTAGAAATCCAATCTCCAACTCAGACGCATTGCGATGTGTACAATATGCAATATACAATATATGAAATTAAAAAGAGAAAGTATAAATATTCTGTTAATAATATAATATTACTGGATAATTTAGATTCAAAATTAGAGCTGAACTTCATTGTTTTTTTAATTACGTCCAAACAAAAAACCAATGTTTGGGCAATGAAATGTGAACGCAAGCATTAGATATCAAATCGGTTTGTGTATGTGATGTTTTAATAAAATCAGTCTCATGCTTCTAATTTCATCCTAATTAACATGACGTAAAACTAGTTACGTAAGCTTTGATGCCATGATTCCAATGATGTTATTTTCTTCATTAAATACAACCGTAACACTAAGTTTTAGAACTCTTTCATAAGTGCTAGTGGGTAGTTTGTATTTACACACTGAAACTAAAAAATAAGGTTATTATAATTATTTAAAAGAGCAACATGTAAGTTTCTTGCTCTTTCTTCTTATGATAAAACAGCTTACCAAATGAACGGTAGATTAAATGGTATGACTATTCAAAAGTGCGTAAATGTAAGTTTGGTTGATGAATTTTCTATTTTAATGTATTAGTTTCATTAAAGTGTTTGCATTACGTTTAAATAGTAGGTATTAATGCATTTTACGCGCTTTTGACTC